TTAGAGAATTCTCAAAACTTATTTCTATTCTTTGTAATTGTTATTTTTACAGTGTAATGCACTTGGAGAGCAAGATAATTATTCTGTTTATATTCACTAATGTAAAGCTCTTTGAGCATGTCTATGTAAAGGCACTATATAAATATCATATGTATGTATCTAATTATACTGATAATTCCCACCCCTTTTTTTGGTATAGATAACACGTAACAACTTTTTTGGTAAAAAAAACATGTGCTTTCTGGTCGTATCAACATTTGACTGACTTTCATATCTTTATAAAATTTCTCTTTGAAAATTCATTTTGGAGGCAACGTTTCTTTTGTCTATTCATGTGATAACCCGATCGACAATCAATTTGTAAATGGTCCAAAAAGCTATAGTAAGGAATAAAGTACAATGATTCTCACAATTTATTTTGAGCAAGTGTTAGATACTAAACGTCAATATCTTTACTTGGTATATATCTTGTAATATATCTTTCAGGTGAAGAGCTCATTTAGTTTGCATTCGATAAACGCGTGATTTATATCCTCTTTTATATTACATTTTGGGCATACATCGTTATTAGATATTCCCCGTTTGAAGAAACAAATCTTTTTTCTGACAATAGATTAATTATATAGTTGTATTCATAATAACATTCTCAACAAAAAAGATTGAATAGATTTAATTTTATGAAAAAGAATACACTAAAGTTTCTATGGAAAGGATGATTTTAGTATGAGTGATTTAAAAAAGATTCTTTATGTATTCTTTATATGGCGTCCAACCTGTTTGTATTGATATGACCTACTTCTTCTAATACTGAAATTAATAGTACCCATAAATAGACATTTGCTATTGCGATGTCTCAAGTGAAAGGGATTTATATTAACAAAAAACAATATAAATTCAGTCAGGTTTGGCATAGAACATGGTGGTTCTGTAGGGTGATGCGGTGCGGGTGGTGTGAAACATTTCACAAAAGAAAGCTCGAGATTCTGGACTTGCATAGTTAAGCAGCTCATCTATACATATTTTTCATTTACTACAGCAAAACTTGAAGGGGAAGGGGGGGGGGGGTAGGAGGGGACATGGAAATGTTGACATCTAGTGCAGCGATCTTGGGTTGTGATAGTTTGCTTGATTGTTTCTTTTTTAATAGACCTAGGAAAAGGAAAGGTGAAAACAAAATTGAAACAAGTGTATCGTAATCGATGTGGAGGATCGTTACTTCTGGCGGCTTTTCTACCCCTGGCATTTTTATCTCTGATATTTTTACCTCTCACATTTTTTTCACCGAACCAATTGTCCTTGGGGAAGTTACCAGGAAGGGGTAATTTTCCAGGTAGGGTCTATGGAAGTGATTTAAATTGCGCAAACCCTGCTACCCAGGATCAGTAATTATTATATATATTTTAATTTTTGTATATTTTGTTGTGTGATGTAAAATTCAACATCTTCTATTTTGTAAATTCTACAGAATCGACCAGGACATGTACTATTTTCTGGTCCCAACATTTAGCAACTGTTTTTATTCTGTAACATTTGTTTAGATATTGCAAAGACACATTTGAAACACATGTTGTTATTGTTGGAGGTATATACATAAATCAATCGATATATATATATATATATATATATACTCCTAGGTTAGGTGTGGGGGTGAATTAAAAATTTTATTTTATAAGGAAGACCCAATATTATAATCCTTTTAATATAGAAACCCTTTATAACACTACTCTCAACAAAATGCTAAATATTGGGTGGTACATGAATGCCAATGTAGAATAATATTTTAGATGCTGCCATCCCACTTTCTAATTGGAAATAACTCTTGACCACAACCTTTTATGGACATGAGGTCCTCATGTTTTAATTCATGTAATGCTAATCCTGTGTCATGAAAGGAATGTTTACATATCTATATGACTACCCTTTATATATCATAGCAATGCCAATTATAATAATAAATATAATCCAAATTGGAGAACACTGTCTCTATCGTTTTATTTGACTTTTGTGAAGAGCATGTGACACTCGACATCGACGCCATTTATATACAATTATAGAGTGTATCACTTACATGTAGGGAAACATATTTTAGTCTATTTACATGGTTTAATAATAATAATTATAATAATAACAATAATAACAAATGCTTAACTTTCACCTACATAATAATTTTAGGATTAATAAATACATGTATCTGACTTTCAGTGCATGCCAAAAATGTTTATATAATATGTAATCCCAAGTCGTATGGGTTATGCAAATGCGAATGTGACTAACACGAAAGGGCATCAGAGAGTCCACAATCAAGGCAAGAATCACTCTCCCTCCTTATTCTTTTTTCATTGGATGAAGCCTAAGATAATATTTTATATTAATCCAAAATATGAGTATAATACTGTTATTTAACCAATACTTAACTACATGTGTTTTTTTCATTCATAAAGCTTCCTTTCTAAACATGATCATAAGATAAATAATTTCCTTAATTAAAAAAAACTTCCATGAAATAACTCGAACGTCATATCTCTGATATTAATGTTATGAATTGGACTTTACCTTGTAAATTAGGTAAGAATCATGTGGTGCAAAAGTACCCCATGGCTTCTCCAGTCAATGACAAATTGTTTCCCTCCTTTTGGGGGGAATCATTTTGAGTACCCCTGTAGGGATTCCCATTGAACTCTTTGCATGAGTGCATTTCTTTTGTGTTAGTGCTGGCATTGGTGAATGCTTTAGCAGGCAGGCAAGTCATTCTATGCTAACTTGAGAAAGTGGCATGTAACTTTGCCAAAGTTGACCACCTGTTACAATACTTAATACAATAGCAGCATAAAAGTTGCTATGTCAGACATGCTGTAGCATCTACAGGCAATGATGGTGTAGTGTACATTTATCAAAGCAGGCAATTTTATTACGAGCGTTGTGCTGAGCTGGGGGAAATTACATACCATTGTCTATGGTAGAATATTAGTTTAGCCGAATGTTTAGTGTGACATGTCTGACAAAGCAAGTTATATATTGCTATTCTTTGTTGTATGTAACAGGTGGTCAACTTTGGCAAAGTTACAACCCACTTTCTCAAGCTAGCTCATTGATGACTGACAGATGATGTCACAAGGGGAATGAGATCTGGAGGGGTTTTAGGGTGGAGCTTAACAAGTTTGAAAACTAAATATATCAAAAAGGATTACAAAAATCTATGAAACACATTCAGAAGTTTACATATCAAAATATGAAATGCAGCCAGGACTACACACCGACACGAATAAACTTGTATTTGGATAGCAGGGAGCCTTCAAGTCGCAAGTACATGTACATGTAAATTTGTGTACTAGTAGATGAAACTTGTGCAGACTTTGCTTAAAGGCTGCAATCTAATCATCCCAGAGTTCCCTGTGTTCAACTTTTACGAGTGGCAGATTGTAGCACCAATGTATACCTCTTGGTTAGCACTATGACTAGTATTGGTCGAGGCTGTTTATGATGGGAGATCAATTATGTGAAGACACAAATCTTAGTTCTGACTCCAAATATCTCGAACCCTTTCATTAAGTATGTTGTGATCTTCCTATATGTCCTCTCTTTAATCGATTGAGGTTACAGCTAATCCCCTGGTGCTGTGAACATACTGGCATTAAAACACATGACACGCAATGGAAATTGAGCATCCTACACAGGGACTATAAGACCGTGTTCAAGGTTTTTGGGGCTATTGACGCCATAATTTGTTTTGCCGCTGCCTCTTGAAACCCAGTATAGCCATAAACTTGTGCCTCCCAGAGTTTATATTATGAGAAGTGCTTTCTTTGGGCAGAAACAAAGATTTTGTGATTTTCTGTAGTCGTCGATCAAGGTGCCGGGGATTGTATCATAGCATTAAAGTCGTATAAGCATACCACAATGTTTCCACGGTAAGTATTCACACTTGAAAGCTTTTGGTAGAACCATGTGGTAAGCCTTAGCGAAAAGACCATTGATACATTCTTTTGTCAAAAGAACCAGCATATACCGTGAGGTCAAGATGGGGTGATGGTACATGTTGTAATTTCCATGTTACAAACTGTTATTTTTTTTTTTTACATATGTAACATGAATAAAAACCTTCACCCCACATTTCAGTTACCATTTACCATAAGTAGCCGACATCTTGGACATTCTTTTTTTTTTTTTTTTGAAATGTGGGGTGAAGGTTTTTATTCAAAGTCAAAGATGTAAAAAATAACAGTTTGTAACATGGAAATTACAACATGTATCATCACCCCCATCCTGACTCACATGAACACACCACTGAGTCTACCAGGGAAAGTTACAATAAAAACTGCAATTCCTGTTCACTCATGCATAAAAGTTTGGTTTAAAAAAACACATGAAATTCACTCAGCAAATCATGAATGTATCATATCACCCTCAATTTTGTAAGCTCTAATGGATTTACCTCTCACAATTTGGAAGGCTAATTCCTGCGCAACCTAATTTGTATACCCTTTACAAAAGTGAGCTGTGCTCACCCAAGCATGAATTATTTTCAGACTTTTGGTGTTATATGAAAGTTGAGTTTATGAGCTTTCCATACATATAAAACTTTTCCCCCAGAATCATATATTTCTTATTCGGATGCCATTTCAGAAGTGTATAGTATTTTTTTGGGACGCACGGTATGAGACATTTAAAGGAATTACAGAAAAGTAAATATATAAAAGAAAAGGAAAGAGGTAGAGATGGTATTGGAATGGAATTAAATTAAACACTTACACATACATGTATATCACAATTGCCGATAAACTGCTCACCTTTGATTTTTCTCCTTTCCTTGCCAGTGATGCAAACAAGCGATGATGGTGTGCACGTTGATGAAGAGAAACTTCCCTCAATGATGGCGTGGAGCATATTATCTCTGCTACATCAAGTGACATAGAAGGTCCACAATCTTTCCTAATATCGAGTTCAACCTGAAAAAAATGACAAAGTGATTACAGATGGGAACGTTCGCCCTAGATGTGCTGTTAGAACTACAAAGAGTAAAGAGGGGAAAGGAGACTTTGAGGTTACAGGCTGAAGAACTATTGCCACAACATTTCGTAACATATCCTCACCTTTGCAACAACAGAAATAACTCATCAATAACACCAATTTCGCACAGGGCCAAGAATAACATACAAATTCCTTTATACCCTGTTGAACATTTATAAACCAAACATTTGGATTTCAATTAGGCAAGAGATATTCCCCAAATTTATCTTATCTGAAAAGTATCTAGATGCAATATGTATATATGCAGATTCGTTTTGCACGCAGTGCTCGACATGCCTAATCAGGTCGCTTTCTCTATCCCAATTCTATTCAGAGTTTGTATGCATATTCTTTACCATCCCATCGTGTGCACTGAACAGACAGTCCAGGCGCCATTTCGACTGTTTCGGGTCCGTTTTCATGCCTACTTTCTGTCAGCCATCCTTTCAGCCCATCTATCTCCAACTCCCTCTCCGGGAACGGAGGGACCGCATACGTGTTCCCAAAATCTCAAAGAAAAAGATCTGCCCGTATTGACTTTACACACCGGACTTTTGCTGAAAGGAGAGTGGGGTGCTGAAAAGGCTCGTATAACAAAGAAAAAAGATCTACCCGTATTGACTTTACACACCGGCCTATCGCTGAAAGGGGGGGGGGGGGGATGCCGGGAACACGCCTATGCGTACCCTAAATAACACCCCCCACACACTTTTTTTTGAAAAAGTATTTTAAATAGGAATAGAAAGAAAGAGAGCAAGGATAGTTTAATAACTGACAGTGTGTCACAAACTAATGAGGAATAAAAATATGCCCATCTGACCGTGATTAAATCCTAAAACCCCTAAGCTTCCGGGGTCTCTGCCCCCATGGATTCCACCTAGGGCCCTAAGGCGGGCCATTAAATGCTCATCTGACGGTAGTTTAATGCCTAAAACCCCTGAGTTCTGCGGGCTCCGCCCCCTGGAACCCACGCAAAATAGTGTCCTGGCAGTGTCACAAAATAATGAGGTATCAAAAAATGCTCATCTGGCCGTAATTGAACGCTTAAAACCCCTGAGCTTCCGGGAGCTCTGCCCCCGGGACCCAACGAAGGGCCCTAAGATTGCCCCTTGATACTCATATTTCCGTAAATAAATGCCTAAAATCCCTGAACTTTCGGGGGCGGGCAAGGCATCAAAATATGTTCATCTGACCGCAGGCGCGTAGCCAGGGGGGGGGGGAGGGGGGGCGGTCCCACACAAAATACCGGCCCGAAAAAGAGAGGGAAGAAAAGGAGGAGAACGTAGGAAGAAAAAAGGAGCAAACAAAGAACATTTTTGAAATTCGAACAAAGAATTTAGAGTCGATAACGGTACAGCGAATCGTCTTCTTTCTCTAATAATTTTATAAAACGCCAAAGCTTCCGCGCTTCGTGCGGGAGGGGGGTGGGGAGGGGAACTGAATCAGAAGAGGATTAAGAGTCGAGAACGATACAACGCCGGAATCGTCTTCTTTTTTCTAATGATTCAATGAAATGTAAAAGCTTCGGCGCTTCGCGCGGGAGTGGGGAAACTAAATTTAGACAAGGATTAAGAGTCGAGAACGGTACAACGAATCGCCTTCTTTCTCTAATGATTTAATGAAACTTAAAAGCTTCCGCGCTTCGCGCAGGAGGGGGGGGGGGGACTGAATTCAGACAAGGAATAAGAGTCGAGAATAGTAATACGAATCGTCTTCTTTCCCTAATAATTTGATGAAACGTCAAAGCTTCCGAACTTCGCGGAAGGAGGGAGGGGGGAAACTCGCCACTCCCTGCACCCACCTCCCCCCCCCCCCATTACGTCTGTGCTCATCACCATTACGTACCAATATTGGGCTCGCATACTTTCACATTTGCCCCCCCCCCCCTAAGAAATCCTGGATCCGCGCCTGCCCTCTAAAGTTCTGAAAATAGATGTGTTTATGTGGCCATAGCACCATCATGCCTGGCGTAATCCTTTTCTGGATTTAGATACTTCAAGATTTACCCTCTTCAGCATCAACAAACATTAAAAAAAAATGCATCCTACCACTAACCGACTTTGCGAAAAATTGCTCTCGATAACAATACATTTCAACAAAATTCCTAAACAACTTTAACATGTGCTCAATTTTCTATACTGCTTTCAAACTGGCTTCTATCGGAGTCACACCGATGAAAATACCGATTGAATTTTCCTTATGTAAACAAAGGTGAAACCGCTGTTTTCTCCCTGTCGCTTTCATACTGCCGTTGAAATTCACTGGCTGTGGCGAGCCCTTGCCGGAAGTGAAGAATTATTGTGTAATTATTAAGCCCGCGCTCCATCTAGCTAGCATGCAGCATGTTCAGCCATAAGTCAACAAACACAGCTGGTTACGATAAAGCGCGCGTACTGGCTGTTTTCTCCCGAACGCTTTCACGGTGGCTGTTTCATCGGTGTCACACCAATAGAATGAGAATTTAATCGCCTATTTCTCCTCTTTTCATCGGCTATTTAATCGCCTTTTTCTCCTCTGTAGCATTCATACTGGCAGTTTCATCGAATGCGTCCGGATGCATCCGATGAAAATCAGGCCTGACCATGGGTCATAGGTGAAATCCAAGGGGCAAAGCCCCCGGAATCTCAGGGGTTTCAGGCATTAAACTACCGTCATGAGCATCCAGGTGCCTGACTTTGTGCCCTGGGTGAAGTCCAGGGGGGCATAGCCCCCAGAAGCTCGGGGTTTTTGGGCAATACATTACGGTCAGATGAGCATATTTTTATACCTTATTTGTGACACTGGCAGCACACAAATTGTTGTTGGTTCCAGGGGGCGGAGCCCCCAGAAGCTCAGGAGTTTTATACATTAAATTGTCGTCAGATGAGCATATTTTTATACCTTATTTGTGGCACTGGTAGGTCGCTAATTGTTGTGAGCCGCCCCCAGGAGCTCAGGGGTTTTAGGCTTTAAATTACCGTCAGATGAGTATCCAGGTGCCTGATTTTGGGCCCTAGGTGAAATCCAGATGAGCAAATCTTTTTTTTTTGGCCCCGGAAATTGGCTGGGGGGGGGAAAGGAACATTTTTGTTGTTGTTGCTTTCTTTTGGGAATAAAATAAATATGAATCGAATCGAATATGAATAAAATGTGAACATACCAATACCGACAAAGTCATATTAGAAGCACCGTATCGTTACCTACAAGTGGGCACAATTTTGGAGGGGGGGGGGGGGGGGAGGCATGCTCACGTCGCGTCTCTTGTCCGATATCAACATATTCCGTTTGTAAGTTATGCTCGCGCGCGAGCAAAATTGTTGACGTTATCATCAGGGGAGTGAAGCCTCTTGCCCTCTTGCCCGAATACCAATTTTCTGGTTTCACAATTTAGCGAGCGAGCGAGCAAAAATTTGAGCATAAGTATGTTGTGAAAGTGTTATTTATCAAAATATTCGGGCATCGAGATGCCCGAATATTGGTCATTTTTAAATTTTCAAGGAAAGAAAGGCTCCAACCCCATTCAGCATTTATTGCAGGTGTTATGAAATGAAATTTGAATCCTTGTAGTGTAAATGTAGAAACAGCTCGTGCTACAGCCATGATTGCAATGAAAACTATTTTGAATTCCAGAACAATTAAACTCATGTGATACTATTATGTGTTCCCTGGCTGTCAAAATATATTAAACACTTTCTTTATAATTAGCTTTACATATCTATATTCATGAATGACTTTATCACTCTCGTTCGCTTAAAAAGTACCAACGTGCTGAGGTATTTGCTACAACCATAATTGCAATGAAAACCTCAATTTGGGGGGAATTGAAGAACAATTAACCTCCTGTGGAACTATGTATGTTTTTTATGACTGTCAAAATTTGTCAAACAATTTCCTTATATCATTTCATGTTTATATTCATGAATGGAGGGGCAGCCGAGCGACTTTCAAGGGGGGGGGGGCACCAAGAAAAAAGGGCACTTTCTGCAGAAAAAAAGGGCACCTACAAAGAGGAATCTCAAAGCAAAAATATAAAATCTTTTAGACATTGGTATATACCCCTACATTGTGATTTACATTATCAGGGATGATTTCAATATTTGTTTCTCTTAATACACCGTGCAAGATATTGCTTAAGCATCATGCTTTGCAGTTGGGTGTGATGGTCTGGACAAAAATTGCGAGCGAGTGAAGAAAATGTTAATATTTGTGAGATCGCAGTGCGAAAAATTACATCTTATAAAGAGTGATAGGGCCATTATTAGAAAGGAAAAGGGGCACGTGTCATTGTTATAAGGGAAATTATCAGGGTGGAAAGAGCCACTTATAGCATCTGAAAAGGGGCAATGACCAAATATGAAATTAAAGGGGCACTTATGTGAATGAAAGGGCCACTTATAATAAAGGAAAATGTCCGTTAGTTGAATTGAATTGAAATTTATTGTCCCTTTTTTTTAGGAAATTCTTTTTTGACTGGTTTTTACAGTCCTTGTACATACATATACATAATACAAGAAGAAATACATAATACAATAATATCGAATGTACATCTTCACAAACATAATAACATTCTGAAAATGATTGTTACATTGGGAACGGAACAATATAAACATTAATTGCAGTATAAACGTAAACTGCATACCTTGAAAGATAATGGGCACCGTTCAGATTGTAAAGGGGCATTTATCGGAGGTTAAGGGGGCACTTGTCTGAAGTGAAAAGAAGTAACTTCTCGTACCTGAGAAGGATCATTTACCAGAGAAGGGGCACTTATAAGAAGGGGAAGGGGCTCTTTTTTAATGGGGAATTTATCATTGGGAAAGGGGGCACTTATTAGAAAGGAAGTGGGGCACATGTGAAAATATAAGGTGCGCTTATCCGAGTTAAAAAGGGGTAGTTATGAATAGGGGAAGAGGCACTTATTACAAAGGGAAGAGGCACTTCGCCGATTTGAATAGGGCAATTATCAGAGGTGAAGGGGGCACTAATCTAAGTGACAAGAGGCACTTCTCGTACCTAAAAAAGGGCACATACAATACGCTTGCAGTTCACAATGTCATGTGCACCCCTTCCTCCTTATTCCCTTATCCATCTTTCCCGCCACTGCCATTTGAGTATGGCCGGCCCCGTCTTCAATAACGACTCCCAAGCCTTCGAGAATGACCCCACAATTTCTAGATTACCATTATGCCGCTCTTTGGAGGGGCCGGGCGGCGAATTGTCTCTACACTAACCTTTTCATGCACTATAGCTTAACATAAACAAGCATGAAAATAAGCATAATTCCGACTTATCTTTACATAACCTAAAAATTAGAATACGGTCAGTCACCCCTCCCTCCTCAATGCACCCGCATTTCACACACGCGCACCCCCCCCCTAGTTTTTCCCTTATTTGTCGTTACTGTCACTTAGTGCCATTTCGTTGGCTTTCTTTCTCCCCGGCTTTTCTCTCTCTTACTTTTTTCTTTTTTCTTATCTCTCTTTTTTTTCCTTTATTCTTCTCCTTTCTTTTTTTCTTCTTCTTCCTTTTCCCTTTTCCTTTTTTCTTCTTTTTTCTCTGCTTTTCTTCCTTTTTTTTTCCTTCTCAATTTTTTGGCGCCGCCAATAGGGGGGGGGGGGGGGGCGGCCGTTTTGCCCCACCCCTGGATCCACCACTGATATATAGTAGCACATGTGCTAGACGAGATGCACCCTTCCATAATTATACTGTTGTACTGTAAAAACAATCGCAAACAATATAAAAAAATAAGAACTTGTACAAAAATGGAGTCATAATTTTTGTTTATCACTATGATTAAACTTACCACATGTGGTTCAATGAATGCATAACCAGCTACAGTGTGTGCTTTCATGAACCAGTATATGACCAGCTTCTCTGAAACCCCGTCCTTCACCAAGGCTGCTACATCTGGGTCCTGACTCTCAAAGGCTACATCAACAATGAAATCTATCTGTCTCTTTGAAGCCCCTCTGTGCATGTATTCATCCTGTAGCATAGACTTCATTACATGGGTTGCAATACTTTTGTTCTGTGACACAGTGAAGTACAAGAGAAACCTAAACTCCTTTTTCCTTGACAGCACTACTTCCTCAATCAGCCTGTTGAATTCATTACGATCTGATTCATATAGGGAAGCAAGATGGAATCCAGCCATGTACTCCTGGAACAGTTTGTGTGGGAAGAAGACTGGCAATTGCACATGAGAATTCCCCGTATGTATGTCCATGCTAGAGGTAATTCTGTCCTCCTGAGACAAAATCCCGACCCTACATGCAGTGTCTTTGGATTCTGTGCATATTTGGAAATCATCTTCACCAAAAACCAATGTATTTTCTAGCAGACCATTGAAGGCCAGTTTGGCAATCGGTCCGAGGAGCTCATCAATTTTGTTCAAATAGGCATGAAGTGAAGGGCTGCCTACGTTCTTTACCGCTTTCTGAGCATAATGTTCTTTGAGAAAGGCAATCATTGTTTTGAATATTTGAGAAAACGTTTTCAATGATTTCATTTCTTTTAGTTTTTGATCGTCAAGTTCTTTCCACATAAGGCACAACATGGCTACATATATAGGATAGTGGGCCATGCTTTCAGATATGACATTATTCTCACTGGTGAGCTGGATAAGCTGATTTGCTTTATCATCATTCTCTGGAAAGTATTTGTGAATGTAAACTGACAAATTCTCTCTGCTGAAACCCTCAACATGAATGAATGTGTAGAATTTCATTAGATCACCATCTGATCTAATCTCTACTGCTCTCCATGGGCGAGTGGTCATCAAGACTGGGCAAGAGGCAAGTTGATCTGAACGAATAATATCTCCAAGTCCAATATCACCAGTCTCAGATGAGCTTCCACATGCCTCTGATGAGGTGAAACTTGGCTCTGAGATGTTACCACTGACTTCGTCTAGCCCATCGAATGCGATGAATACCTTGTCAGGATTTGACCGGATATACTCAGTAATCTGTGAAACCGTTGCTGGATTGTTTTTGGTCAGATAACACTTTGCAATCTCGCCAATAGTGTGTTGCTTAAATTCACGTAGAGGAACAATCAATACCCACACAAAGTGACTGAATTGCCTCCCTTCAATCCAGTCCCAGGCAATCTTAGCACAAAATGTAGTTTTTCCAGCCCCTGCCTCTCCCTGAACCATGATCCGCTTGGGGAACTCTCCATTGACTTTGAGATCAAGGATATCATTGTAATCTAGCATTCGCTTCGCTGTCCCATGTTCTTCTTGTAAGAACAGATTAGTATACATGTCGTCAAACTGCACAGCGGAAGCAGGATTGAGAGGATCAGCTCTGATCTTACAGAGAGTTGACCTGTACTTGAACTTGAATTCATTTGCACACCGCTCAACCAGTTCAGGAGAAAGTGGTTTAGTCTGAGATTCAGCTGTAGGTTTGGTCTGTGATTCGAGCAGTCTTGATGGCCCTTCTAAAAATGCATAGATAATACATATTCACATGATTACACGTAAACATATTTTGATACATCTGAAAGGATTATAAAGGCCTGATGTTACAAATAGTGTGACATACAGCTAGGTACATGTACTCAAAGACACAAAGTCCTACATGTTGTCTGAATTTATATGACTTCATTCAATTTTAAGGGCATTTAAAATCTAAGTAATTTGTGTATACATGTACATGTATTTGTAGAGGAATATCACTGGAATCATTTTTTCCAAGGACATTTCAGCACTGCAGAGTTTAATAATAATAATAGTAGGCATTTCGATATGGCCATCTATCTAGATAATTATATTCTGAGGCACATTTATTATTACCCTGGCTTTAGCCTAGCAGCCGTTTATACAGCGCTCCAGCATTTCAAGGAATTAATTCCTGCCAGGTACCCATTTACATCACCTGGGTTGAGTGTGGCAAATGTAGATCAATGTCTTGCCAAAGGACATTAGTGCCGCGGCGGGACTCGAACCGCGGACCTTGCGATCGACAGTCCGGCGACGTATCCACTCGAACACGACACCTCTACAAGTTTCCCTGACAATCACACATTATATTTTGAGAATTAGATGGATTTTTGACTGCACGCAGTCGATAATGATGCCTTCACCATAGAGCGGTTTTACAAACCAAAACAGAAGCAATTTTTAAAATTCAAGTTTGATTGTAATCCATTTACAGGTTCTCAGAATATCATGATTACAAGCTATATTTCATATTCAATTCATTGGCTCTGCACGATACATACATGAACCAAGTTTGGCGGTAATCCATCAATCGGTTCTTGAGATAACGCGGTCACGAGAACAGGACGTACGGACGGACAACCAGAAAACATAATGCCTCTGGCTACTTTGTGGCGATGGCATAAATAGTAGGAGACAGATATGACTGCATTATGCCTCTGCCTCAATTCAATTAATATAATAACTTGAATCAATCTTTAAATATCACAATGAGAACTATAGACAGATATATACATGTTGATTGATCTTTACAACCTCTGACCTTTGACCTTACAATCCAACATCTGATCACTTGTATCCCTATGGTGACCATACCATATGTATTAAAAAAAATATATATATTCAGCTAAAATAGCTTAAAAATATAGACCAGTTTTGGAAACGCCCCCCCCCTCTCAAAACATGAAATGGAAGCTCTTATTACAAATCATGTGAAAGAATGTTTTGACTAATACGTGATGATACAAATTTTGCCGGGAAACCGCCTATAATTAATATATTTGGTAAGTTATCAATCGATCCGGCATGGATAGATATCGCGAATGCACTTCAACATTGAACATTTGGGCATATATTTCTGCTTTTTTGCGAATTAAGGTTGAAGTATTGCCATCTAAACCTCTGAAGGCAATATTTAAACAATATTGAATGGATATTTTGCACCCAAAACTCTTGAACCACAGTTTTACCAAAACTGGTCTATACCTTTAAGGTATAATTGTTTCATTTTGCTGACCTTTGAACCTCTTAACCCAAAACATCATTAGATTGTCTCAATATGGGGATACATATCAACAAGAAGTTTGAAATTCATGGTTCAAACCGTTTTTGAGACATTTCAATAATGGGGCTAAAACCCTAAATATTAATTATTTTGACCCTCATGGCACTTGGCTTTTGACCTACTTATCCCAAAATCTAATCACTTCATATCACTTTGGTGATGCATGATAATATCAAGTTTGAAGTTCATAGCTCAAGTGGTTCTTGGCATTTCATGTGGCTAAAACCTGTAATTTCACAAATTTACCTATATGACCCACTGCACTTACACCCAATCAAAATTATCTTCCTATGGTGATTCATACTATCACCAAGTATGAAGTTCATACCTCAAGTGGTTCTTGAGATATCGCAATAGAAAAAAGCAGGACGAATTGATATACAAGTTACAACCCTAAAACATATCTATTTTCTGCAGCACCACCTCTGGTGGGCGGATGCATAGACGCAAAGGATTTAATTTTTCGTAGAACATGTGCATGTAAAGAAAGCTGACATACATTGAATGCCGTTGCTCAAAGTACTTGTTATTGGTGTCCAGAAAATACCTAGGATTAACAAAGTTTAATTAGTAAATTATAAAAAAAACATGCACGGACCTGATCAAATTTGACACTTTTGTAAATTGGGGCAAATGTATAGAACATAGAGCACTCACTATCTCTATAGTATACATTTGTTCATGTCTTCTGGTGTAGCAAGAATTAGTATTTGTTTACCTGTGCTGTTTGAAATTGGAGGTTCATTGAGTAATCTGTCTGATAGGCCACCCAAGCCCATCTCTCGGAATTTGTCTGCCAAAAGCTGTCGTTTGTTTGAGTATGTAGGTTGCTGCCTGACATTCCATTTCATAAAGACATCCATTAAAGCACTTTTGAAGTTCTTCAACTTTTCACTTAGGATTGTCTGTAGCTGAGCATAGGGGATCCCTAGAGATATCCCTACATCCTCGTAGTAAGATGAAGGGATATCCCGGGCCAGCTTCAGGAACTCCATTTCAGTGACAGTACTGTAAAATGAATAATAAATTAAGTGGGAACGAAAGGATATTAGTTATACAATAATGATGGTGATAATAATAATATAATATATTAAAGAAGAAAAGGAATTACTACCTTTTTAAATAATAATAATGATAATGTTTACATTTTTATTATTACTAGAATTTATGGTGATGATAATTATGATTATCATCATCATCATCATCATCATCATAATTAGTATATGTATCAATCACAGTCTATGTAATCGGCTTACTTTAAATGTTCGGGTCATCGCGTCGGGTTCGGTGGTGGAGTTACCAGACCTTTTGTGAAAACATGCCCCTTTTATTCACAAACATGTCGGAGGCTAATGTTTGTGAAATAAACCCCTCTTATCTACGAACGTTCGATCCAATTTAACCGACACTTTGTGAAAACCCTACGGCGAATCTGTGAAAGATCGCCTCCTGAACGTGCATCTCTACATGTTTTGTTTCACGAAAGGTCATGTAACGCAACCATCCGACCGAACGTGATGACCCGACCGTTTATTCGAAACCGAATATGCATACCTTTCTGCAGTGTTAGGACCTGGATTGGTTTCGACGTCACCACATCTCATCAAGAGGATCAGGAGCAGATAGAGAAGGCAGAATCCATCCATGGTGTAAGATGTCCTTCTTTTACAGAAGTGTAGTTCTCCGAAAAATGGTGAAGACATAGGCAAAATTACCTGAAAACAATTTTCAGAAATATTTAAATTAAGTACATAAAGTGGGTGGAATAAAGATCCTTGAGAGTTTCAATTCACTATATCTCAAACCAGGCTGAAATAGCTTAAGGTTTTGGACATAAAACAATGATTTTGTGATTTTGTTTTTTGTAGTTGTCAATCAACGCGCCCGAGTTTCTTTCACCACGCAAAATTATTATCATTATTGAATTCCTCCGCTTGGTGAAGAGCTTTAGCTAAAATATTTTATATCTGGTGTATCTAGCCTTTGCTTGTTCAGTGCCTATTTTAAATCGATATTAAAGGTTGTTTTTCTGTTATTTGAACGTAAAGTGATTTAGAAATCCATGGAAATCTCGGTGATTTTTCGTAGGTAGTTCCTTTGTCTTTAACTTTAGGAATGTGATTTATCTAATTGATTATGGAATATGTTAAGGAAATTGTTAAAAGATAAATTTACGTCATAAATGTCGTAAACACACGACCAGTCAGCAGAGTATAAAGAAACGCCAAGAATGGCAATGTTTTCATGGGTAGGTCTCCGTCGTGATGGTCTGTGAAGATTATTTAATAAGTGCCTGAGGGCTAAATGTGACATAATCGTAAAAAGATCAGTTATATTGGATAAAATTACAGAAGAGTCTGGGGTTGGAAGAGTATTGCAAAAATCATTATCAATAAGGGTAGCGGAATGATTTGCCATGTGAGTTGGTTTCGATATCAAAGGCAAGGATGAGGCAGTCAAAAAATATTTCAAGAAATTCATGGGATATATTGTTGTTATTATGCTTTAAAATATCAATATTAAAATCACCCATTATGAAAAGGTCTTTGTTTACAAAAAAGTGGATTCATTAGTAAATCTGTAAAGTAAACTACGAAATCATTTGAATTAGAACTTGGAGGTATATACACAATGTCCATGATTATATTTTTAGTATCCGGAACATCGATTTCGATAAAAAGAGACTCAGTTTCGTTCATCGCATTAATTTCATTATGATTTGAATAGTCGTACTTATGTCAAACGAAAAATGCAACACCTCCGCCGGGTCTGTTTTTTTATATTATTGACAACAAGATTATAACCATCTAATGCAAATGGTAGGTTTGATTCACTGGATAACCAAGTTTCCATCCTATTATGGAAAATGACTGTTTGGATGGGCTATCTAATAATAATAAAAGTTCTTCAAAATGTTTATTTAAGCTTCTAATGTTTAAGTGCAATAGAGAAAATTTGTCATTAGCAAATTTCTTAACGAGGTTTTTAAATTTGGACTCGGTTACATGTTCAGATGAAGGGCTTTGAATTTGGTCATGTTCAGGGTAAAAATGTAAAATTTCTGTTGATAAGTTAATATTATTTGTTACAAAATGGTTATACGCTACATTAGTTTAAGAATAATCATTCGAGTGATATGTTAATGAAGGGTTAAATAAATCAAAAAGGTCATCATCATTTAAAGAATAGCATGGCCTATCAGCTAAGTGGGTGGTAGAAGTACAGTCAAAATCTCAATATGATATATTCCTATTATATGATAGTACCCTAGCGCCCGCTGCGTACAGTCATGATTCATTGGCTAAGAAATGGCCTCGTTACTGTGAGCCCCCAGGATCAAAACCGTGTCGATGTGCTATATTAGTGCCCTTTTATAAGGCATTAATCCCCAATACTGTCAGTTATGACTTAAGGACGTAGGTCCCCTAGTTGATTAGCATAGTAGCACACACATGCTTTAACAGTCACACAAAACAAACACTCCCCAATTGTCATTCAATAAAATCTGAAAACGTATACTATTATCTAGATCTATTAGGAATAAATCATCGTCAAAATCATTCAATAAATTGGGGTAAAAATAATTATTCCACCATTATGACCAACAGTGTATAAATTGCACAAATTCTTCTTGCCAGACCAGATGGTATATTCATTTTTGTACGTATATGGCGTGGATAACAGGAGTCAAAGTGCAAATACCGATGAGTGTCAGTTACTTGTATATCCGTTTCCAATCTTCCATTAATGTTCATTACATTTATATCCAGGAACGGTATCGTCTCGCCCGACACATCCATTTTAAATGAAATATCAGTATGTAGATTTGCAAAATATCGCAAATTACTTTAGAGGAAATCTCACCCCATAGAATAAGTGCATGTAGGTATTCTGAAAAATGAGATGTTTACTTGCCCCTTGATGTAAAACATTCCTTACGAAAATGTACAAGATAAATGAAGATATTCTTGGCATGAGCATGACATAGGCGTAGCCATTTTCTTGAAATGTGACTTATAAGTAATTTCCGGGTGAAGTTGTAATTGTATAATGCACCAAGCTTTATAGTTGGAAAGACTTTTCAAATCGATAACAAAACTTTGATTTTCAATGAGAAAAGATCATATAGCTGACAAGATAGAAATTATATTTGGGGAAAAAATATATAACAGGGGAACAATTGTAACTATATCATTTAAAAATACTAAAATATAGCAGTTGAAATATCTATTTCATTCACGACAATAATAATAATATTTAGCTTTTATATAGCGCTTCATACAGTCTCTAAGCGCTCTACAAATATCCTATTACCCCGGTCATTGGATTCAGTGCAGTGCCCGCACACACTGAAGAGCACCCACTAATTCATGCAATTTGTGTTCTGGCGATTGTAGTACAAAGGATATTAGCAGGTGAATGAAATGCTTCACCACCACACACGGACACACCCAGGGAGGAAGCATTAATATATTTGAATACATTTACTTAATATACGACTTCACATAGTACGTCACATTATCAAGAAAATGGCGATGCTCATGTCGTGCTGAGAAGCTGTATATATTATTCTCGCTTCATAATAATAATATTCGGTTCTTGTATATACACGTAGCGCATATCACATTATAACCTCTCTATGCGCTTCCAAAACGCTTTGGAAATTATTACCCCGGCTTTAGCATGGCTGCCATTACGGCGCTCTAGCATTTCAAGGAATTAATTCCTGCCAGGTACCCATTTACCTCACCTAGGTGGGGAATCTTGTAGATTAATGGACAAGAATATAATAAATCTCTCAGAACAAGTAAACTTATTTCTCGGGGTTAGGTTTCTTCAAACCTTTCAGCGCAGACGATTCTTCATTAGACAAGCAATTTCTATGTTGGTTCATATTAAAATTCTCACTAGCAGTATTTAAAAAATCAATATATTTCTCTGGCGTTGTATTTCTGTTTCGTTCTGGATAGAAATTACTTTTTGTTCTAACAATTATGATTGTTTTCGACATTCTTTCCTTAAAATGAATTTTCTGCTATTTGCCTCTTGCACGTCCTCTCACTTACATGAAAATATATCCCGTACTACATAGTCTAGCAATATACAATCGTTTCTCCTCTTACATTCTTATCCTACTTCCTAGTTTAAAATTCCTCATTATTCATATTCCATCAAAGCAACACACAGTATATATCACCCAATATTCACGTATAAGCTGCTATTCTAACCTTTGTAATGTACGTTCACACACCACGTAGACACTCCTTCGATAATTAAAACGGTGTACGAAGAAGAACAATCCATCAATATCTAACCGTAATGTGTGCGTCAGATGCAATCAAGATGGCGTCTGTTTGTATATTTGTAATTGCCATAGCAACATGCATACAATACAAAAGTATAGCTAGGAAGAAGAGAAACAAATATGACAATTGATAGGCACCGGTGCACTTCATGAATAAAATGATATGAATGTGAATAAAAGCAGGCTTACATTCGGACCCTGGTTTATAACACGTATTATGAGTGACAAGGTAGAATATCTGAAATAATACTGAAATCCTTGCATATGATTGCCTGTGAAAAAAAAAATTCTAACCATTTGGCGCCTGTCATTGATAACAAGTTTAATGAAAACTGGGCCCAGAGGACTGTTTTTAATGATTTTTTTTCTGAATCTTTTATAATATTGCTGTGTAATGTTACCATTGTTGTTTTTGTCATATTTCTTTTGTAATTTGATGTTTTTATTATTTATTATTTATTTATTTATTTATTTATTTATTTGAACATATTTCATCAGGATAACAAGGACTGGTTTACATCCTGGTCCTGATTTATGATATAAATATCTGATTACTTTGTAAAAACAGACAAAATCAGCCTCGAGCTGCATGTCACTTTGTTGTTTTCTAATAAACCAATTCAGTTCAATTCAATTCAATTCAATTGACCTACCTTGACCTAAGCCTTCCACACCATCTGAGGGATGTGTGATGGCTTCTGCTTCATGACCTCTAGTCAGATCTTCCTATCTTGTGATGTTCTGGCGTATGTAAAGCTGATTAGTTTAAAGCGCTTTAAACTAATCAGCTTCAAAGAATTTTACCCGGGTTTGAAAAGGCTGTATGTCGCTTTTGTAAGGGATCATAGACATATATGGTAGCACAATCAGCCTTTACACAATCTAACCATTTATAGGCTGATCTGCCCCGGGGTCTATCACCATGAATATTAGAAGTCAGGAGTATCTTTGGGTAGCGTGATGGTCTCATCATTGGTAACGTGGCCAAAGAATCGCAGCCGTTTGTTGTTGTTGGTGCTATTCTGTCCCAGAATGGTTTTATCCAGTCCTAGGGTCTCCCGAATTGTTGTATTTCGTATTTCATGTTGTCTGGTTACACCCCAAAAAAAATCGAAGGCAAATAATTTCAAAGGTAAGGAACTGTTCTCATCTTTCCTTTTCAGTGTACACGTTTCTGATCCCGTACATAAGGATGGACAGGATGATAGCTCAAGCGTTGTAACCCATCTAATGTCTTTGGCTGTCAAATGCTGTGACAATTTTGAACATTACCCAGGGCTTTTCCAATTCAATTCTGTATGTCCTCTATACATTTTCCTGATTGAGTGATGATACTTCCCAGGTAAACCTTTCCACCTGTAGCAGTTTGGTTCCACCTTTGCTGATGTTAATGTCTTCAGCGGCAGTAGCTGCTGTTTGCTGATGACCTGAACCTCTGCCCTGGCAATATTGATTTAGTAGGGAGTAATATATTATGACTGGATATTACACAACACACACAACTTACAATTTCCGTCGGGATGGGGTGTCAGATGCCCCCTAAGAATTGCGGTAACATTCCCCCCTTAGGCCCTAAATTTTGTCAGAAGCCGGAAGAACTTTGGTTGTTAAATATACAATTTATAAACATTGTATATCAGGAAGGAGGTATAAAACTACCCTGAAAAAAAAAACCAAAGTGCCTTTAAAACAAGTTTTACTGCCCAAACAGGGTCTGTGTATTTACATTCTGTCCTGTCCACAAACAGAAAATAAAAGGTAAGATTCTGATCGCAGAAATAGAAGTCACTAATTTCTCTGTGTGTGAATCCCACTAATACCCCCCCCCCCCATCCCAAGCCCATCATCAACAACCCTCTCATCATCTGCATCTCTCATTAACATCGTCTCCATTCCTCTCATCATCTGCATCATCAACATCCCTCTCATTATTTCCATCCCTTACATCATCAACATCCCTCTCATCATCTGCATATTAATGAATGAATGTGAATGAATGTGGTTATTTTACCTCACGGCTTTAGGTCCTCTCCGAGGGACCTGGTAATGAGGATTAATGCCTAACCAAAGGGCGCTAGTGCATCACCTTGGTTTTGAACCCGGGTCACCGGATTACGAGACCACTGCTCTACCGACTGAGCTATCACGCCTCTTCATCAACATCCCTCTCATCATCTGCATCTCTCAACATCATCTCCATCTCTCTCATCATAAACATCGTCCACATTCCTCTCATCATCAACATTTTTTTTTTGCCCCGAAAATTTCAAAATCTTGCAGGCAGATTTTTAGCTCGGGGAGGGGGGGGGGGGGTATTGAGCACTAATTGTCTTTGTTTTTTTTTTGTTTTTTTACTCAATTTGGAGGACAGAGCTACTTTGTTTAACTCAACATCCACCCCACCCCCCCCCCCCCCCCATTGAGCGCCAGGGAAGGGGACCCATCTTCTTTTCTTCTTTTTTTTTCCAAAAAAGGGTTTTCAACCTGATTTTTGCCAGGGGAGGGGCCCGCCCCCCCCCCCTGGATCCGCCACTGCGGTACGGTACATAATATCAATCGATAATGGCTGGAGAGTTTGACGAGAACGATCTTTCTCTTGGTCATGTCCCATTCCTCCATATTTCTGTTTATTTTTGTCCCGGTATATCTTCTTAATTCTCTTCTTCCTTTCTCTCTCAGTCTCGCGATCTCTACAATCATAAATGTTTCTATCTCTTTTTATCACCATATTACCTTTTCTCGTGCTCGTTCTCTCACCCCCCCCCCCCGTACCATTCATTTATCCCGGTATCTATCTCTGTTTTGCCCCCCCCCCACCTCCTCTTCCTTCATCATCCGTCTTCATATCTCTATCATCAATCTGTCTCAGTCTCCCTCCCCTTTCTCTCCTCTCTCTCTCTCTCTCTCTCTCTCTTTCGTGTTTTCTCCAAAGTCATCGAGCTATCACCGTTTCCCATGCTCTGTGCCTGGCTATTTTCTACTCAATCCACCCTTTAAAAAATATCTCCTCTCTCACTCAACTTATTAAATTGTTATTTTATTTTTATTAGCATCTCCCCTTTTTGCTCCTCTCTATTGTTTCTCTAGCTCACTCCATTTTAACGTTTAAATGTGTATCTGTTTCTCCTATCTCTCTCCCTCTCTCTTCCTCCCTAGTCCCCTTTTCTCTCTCCACCCTACTCTCTCTCTCTTCGTTTTCCCATGTCTCTCCTAGATTTCACATGGGACAAAGAGATACAGAAGGTATATATAAATCTTTCTTTTTCTATTCAACTTAGAATCATGACTTCTTATGACATAAATACAAGTATAAGTATATAATTTACTGTCCATATCAGGAAATTTGATTTCCACTGGTTGGTACAAGTAATACAATATAAACATACACATGATGAAACAAAATACATACATAATATACAAAGTACTTGAGTTACCGTGTATTTCATCCTTACAATCAATTCCATTAGAAAGGTTATCAACAACATGAGCTTTATCATTACTACATGTATTATCATTATTATCATCTTTGGTATAATTATTTATAGTAGTTACTAACCTAGTTATTGATGCATGTTATTACTTATCTAACAACATTGTTTTATATTACATTCAGTGCTATTGATATAGTGTGGCTAGATCATATTGTGTTTAGACAATCCAGTACATATTTTGTGGCTTAATTGATTGATAATTTAGATACATGTATGAAATCTATGTCTTCCGGGTTTTCTCCGTAGACCACTATACTAAATTAAAGGGCAATATTCTGACATATTCCATTCTTGTCAGTGCGCTTTTATTAAAGTGCATACGCACAGTATTGTGTAGGATTTAAAGTGTTTGAGCGGTAACAATTGATGTCACAATTACATACCTGCCTGAATAACCTGAAATCAGAGGGACCGGCAAACAGACGCGAGTAAAAATCATGCTTGATACCAAAGTTGTATATCATTTGTAAAAAAAATGCCTTGTATAGGCAATAATAATCACATTGACAGGGCTTCTTTCGGGGTACATCAGAAATATTGACCACGCTGTGACTATTTTGCCCTCCTACTGAACTTGGGGCAATATGATCTTAGCTTGGTCAATATTTCAAGCCCAGTCAATATAATATAAATGTTGAGTGTCACATGACACCATTTCAGCTATTATGATACTCACAAATACACCACCATCAAACTACAACTATAGCACAATCTTTTGCCTCCTTTGTTCATCAAAATGTTGAAATATCTAAGGCATTGCAAACGTCATTTCAGTAATCCATGATCATCCATTATACATAGAAAGACCTGTTTAGTTCGATCTGCATTGCTTTTTATGAAAATCAGAGTGGATTATAAAAGTGACATCACTTAATCAGAAGAGGATGGTGATCAAAAGGCAAGGTAACGGAATGCTCATAAGAGTACTGTCTACGTTGCATCTTATAAGCCAATCAGGAATGCAAACTTACTACAATATAAAACGTATATAAAAGGCAAGTATGGCAAACATACACAAGTTCAAAATATACATGTATCATACCATTGCACAATCATAATGATGCAAAGAAAGGCCTGGAGTATATGTATCATCAACATTATTGAAATCCAGTACTCAATACAAAAAGAATAAACATGCATCGTACAATTATAGCAGCATATTTACATGTACACTATAATGATGTACAGAAAATCCTGGAAAACAGTTCCTCAACTGAATTTATAACATAGTACTGATGAATGTAGTTAATTATGTAGAAACAATAATCTATTTCAAATGAAATATTACATTAAAACCTCAGGCATGTTACATTGACAAAAGAGACATGTATCTTAAAATGATAGCAGCATATTTACATATACACTGGAGTGATGTAAAGAAAATGCTAGAAAATATTTCTCGAAATGGATTTATTATATAGAACTGGTGAATGTATTTACACATGTACAAGCAATAACAATGACAAAGTTAGTTCTTAACTAACATATTGAATTATTTGAAGTTCGCTGCCATGATACCTAGAGCAATATGGCTTTAAACATCCGGGTCATTTCTGGTAACAAATTTTCAAATCATATTTGTATTGAACATGTGCAATGAGATTGACAAATATAGTGACATTTTGATAAGATAATTAGATACATTACAATAGCTCACTTTGTGAAAGTTGAGTGATATTTCATACCTTGCATGCAAATCTCCTAAAACAAAATGGTAAAAGCCAACAATACACTTATACTTGGTACTCACTACATACACATATGAGTCCACATTCACAAAACGTATCTTATTTTTTGCATCATCTTCTACATAGGCCATTCACATGCTTTCGAGCATTGTGACATTATTATGATCCCTTTCTCGTGAAATGTATATACTAACACCAAATAGTGGACTGTACTCATCATTTAGGTGAAAAAGATGAAAACTTCCTTTTTACAAATATTCAAACGTTTGCAAACATTGCCGAAAATGACCCCCTTTTACCCCAAATTTATAGCTATGAGTCCAGGACCAAAAACCAGCAACTAGCCGGGACACATTGACAGGCAAAAAAATCTAGGTCTGGACCCTCCGAATTAGGAAGTTTTTACTTAGGGCTCACGCATACAGACTGTAAAAGTTAAATCTGGACCTCTTTTCCCCCAAAATAGTTAGTGTGGAGCCCTGTATAATACGTACACACATTCTAGATGAAGTGTTAAAAGAGGAATAATGTCTTAATCTACGATACCATAAAAACTAGATTTCATACTTTGATTGCTTCTCTGGAATTTCAGGACCTTCCTGTGGAACTCTTGAACGAGTACAAGGAGCTTGCCTCTTGTATGGCCTGCTCAGACTGCTGCTACCTTTTCTGTCTGTCTGGGACAATTGATATATAGTGTTCGATGTATTGCCAACATGAAAGTCTTGACCACTACCGGTACTGCTTGTACTTTGGATCAGAGATGAAAAGTTGGTTAAATGTGATATCTGACTGGAAGAATCTGGCCTACGTGAAGAACTGGTTCTTTTCTGTACAATTGGACAATCCTGGGTAGCTGAATGGAATCCTGTAGTGGAGTGATCCTGACTAGACTGTGGTCTGCTAGATCCTGCCTGCTCTACAGTCATTGGTTGATATGGTGTATCTGAAATGTACCGTCTCGACATGGTAGGCTGATGATATCCAGAGACTGGAGGGTTACACAACGGAGCAGAGCTGGGTGTAGAGGCATTGTAGGATTGAGTGTAGTGATCCTGACTTGACCAAGGCATGGTACGTGTAGCACCTGTGCTCTCAAGAACCAGTGTTGGTGAAAGATACCCTGCGGACATGGTAGGTTGATCATGTCTTGAGACTGGAGGGTTAGGAGATGGAGCAGAACTTGACATAACGGCATGGTAGGTAGGATTGAAGTAAGCCTCTCTATACTCAGGACTGCAATTATAACCACTGAATGGCTGATTTGAAGCAGGGGTGTGGTACCCAACAGACATGCCTGATTGGAGATTGGAAGGCATAAATTGGGGCTGACTAGGCCCAGAATTCCACGGTAGTGCATTATTCTCCAAATAGACTGGCCAAATACCAGACTGAGTCCTCAATGTACATGGCTGTTGTAAAGGTTGCCTCACAATTACATTGTCCTGAGACTCTTGCAAGACAGGAATATTAGCACGTAACCCCCGTGGTAGGGTGTCTGGGGTAAGATGGATGTTGGCATGTACCGGGTTCACACGACTAGTGCTTGCCATGGTTTCTTGGTACATTGCTCTTGATTGCTCTAAAGAGACATTTATTGTGTTGTATGTGTTGCCATGGTAACTGCTTTCTAATGGTTGGTCAGGTGACGTAAATGTAGGCTGATAAGGAATGTAAGGAATGCTGGGAAACTGAGTAACGTTTGGGTTGCCCAAGTCAACCAAGTCATCTGAGTCAATTGAGTTGCCCAAATCAGCCGAGTTGTCTGAGTCATTTGAGTTGCCCGAGTCATCTGAGTCATTTGAGTTGCCCGAGTCATCTGAGTCATTTGAGTTGCCCGAATCATTTGAGTCACTTGAGCTGTCCCAGCCATCTGAGTCATTTAAGCTGTAAAGGAAATAGATTTTTTTCTTATTATCTGTTTGAAAGATGAGAGATAAAAAATCAACTACTATTGGTATTATTGAAATTACCTGTCTCAATAAATATTTTGATCAGTGAATGAAGAAGAAGAAAAAAAGGAAGAGACTACAGTGCAACAAAAATATCAAGAACACACACAAAGAAAAACCAGGAATGCCAACAAATCTACAAATTTAAGGTTGATAGCACATTACAGTAGGATTTGTTCTTCAATAAAGCTGTTACTGAATATTTAGTTTTGTCAGACCAGAAATTTGTAATTGTTTAAGGTACACAGTATCACTTTATCGCATGCTCCCTGCTGTGGTATATATCATCATTATATATTTTCTTATTATAATATTAGAGGCTCTATAAAGGCACATGAAAAGTATACATGCTGTTATCGATTTAAAAAAAATACATTTACTGTACTGACCTTTGCAAACATGTAAGGGCGTGAAAAAATGAGTCCAATTCATCGTGAGCAACTCCATTGAACCTGAAGTTTCCCTTCCTGATCTGAGGAAAATAATCCTGTAACATAGAACAGCAATACTGCTTGTTAACTCTGTATCAGTAACAAGTAAGTAGATCTATTTCATTCTTGCAAATAATCTATTTTCTTTGGGAATATATACACTCAAGATCTAAAGTTACATCACTTAAACAAAATGAAAATAAGAAGAAAAAAAGAAGTATGGAGAATTTCGAAAAAAAGGAAGAGTAAGAAAAATTTTGCGCAGTAGATTTACGAAAAATTCAAAAAGAAATTGATCCAATACATATTGCAATTGCATACAAACTGTAATACTAATACTAATGGTAGTTTTACTGTAGTAGTACTGGTAGTAGTATCCACTACCTATAGCAGTAGTAGTTGATATATGATATCGACATCAAGTTTTAAAAAAAAATACCTGTTAGAATTTGTTTTAATAGTTTTTCTCATAGTATTAGGGGATCAAAGAACAGGAGAGCATTACTTTTACAATTAAACCCTAATTATCTCATAACATTTATTGAATTCCCAACTTCAGCTCTTGACCCATAACTACACCTAAAGGCAGAGCTACCAACCTTGTGCAACCCCCCCAAAAAGGAACCATGATGGCAACAAAAAAAGGAATTTTAAGCAACAAAAAAAGGAATTCATTAAAACGAAACTTACAACCACACGCGACAAACTTTCAATGCAGAAATGTCCATTCTTCATGCTGTTATTTCCATATTTTGGTCCTATAGTTTTTGTGTTTTTTGTTGTTGTTGGTATTAAGTAATTTGGAGGAAAAAACAGAATAATTCCGGGATAAACGTAATGGTTGTCAGCTCTGCTAAAAGGCATGGGTCGGATGGAAGCTGGCTCCTCTCCTCTAAGCAATATGTTTGAGAATATTTATTTTCCAAGATCTGTCCTGACTTAACAACCTTGTGCATCTTTGATAATAAATTTATAGAATTTAACCATGGGTTACTGTGCAGCGTCAAGAATGATAGTACAGTGCACAGCCAAAATAGACATTTACCCATATGTAATATACACAATGCAGATTTAAGAGGATAAATGTGACTGCGTCTCCGATATGACTCCCTCCCGGGTCATAAAAATTAGGTTCCTGTTTCCCAAATTGTATGATGATGAAAACAATAAGCACCTCATAAGTAACGTTTCTTAACAATGAAAACAATCAACACATGAGCATCTCGCCACAGATTGGTATATTATCGGATTTGACATTATATTCATTATATCCATGTTTGACAATGTTTAGTACCAATATCTTGCCTTTAAGTGTCAAAATATGTGGTGAAAGTAGAAATAGCATATGGGACCCACCATTTTGATTCATGCAGGATGAAAGAATCATGCTAAAAAACAATGTTGGAATAACAAAATGGCTTTCTAAAAATTCTTCTACACAACATACCGCTCAAATATTTTTTTTTAAACAATTTTTCTTTTCTTACTCTAAACACTGCACGCTTTTTGAAAAGTTGATATTTACTTTGTAATAATACTGCTTTTTACCGCTGAGGGCAGTAGAGTTGAGTTAAGCGTTGTTATCAACATGAACAGTACATGTGTAAGAACCTCATAGCAAGCCCATTCTGATCAACATAGACCTAATTCCTCAAATATCATTTTTTTCTGTGGGATTTCTTGGACAACTATTGAATGCTTCGTCCAAGTTATGTATCTGTTTAAAACAATTTTAAGTAGTGAATCTTATACACACTTGAATTTCAAACGAATCAGTACATGTATAGTTTGCTTGAATTTCATATTTCATGACTATTCCAATATTCCAAATGAATAGCCTTTAACGAAGGGTGTTTGGACAAAAAAAAAAACATGTACATGTGGTCCAAATAATCATCGCTGATGTTTTCTTTTCTTTCAATGACCCTGTCTATGCCATTAATACACACATACCTGTATGGATGATGCCTTTGCTTTCAATGTAGAGTAGAAATCCTCAGTGAGATTCTGTCCACTGATTGCCAGGTCAGTCAGGTTTGGCATAGAACACAGTGCTTCTGCTAGGTGATGTGATGAGGCGGGTGTGGGACACTCGATGTGTTGAAGCTGGAGATTCTGGACCTGCATTCATGGTGAATATAGTTAACCAGTACGTCTTGAATAGATATACCTTATTTACTAATTTCTCACTGTCTTCTTACATTTTACACAAATTCCATTAATAACATTCTTGCATTCAAGATAACATTCTAAACAAATGATGAAATAGTTTTTATTTTCAAATTCAATTCTTGTCTATTCAGAAATAAGAACACATTAAAGTGTCTTTCGACAGGATAATAAAGAACGATTGTTTCAAATTCTATATGTATTCTTGAGAGAGATTGCAATCTGTTTGCATTGATAAGTCATATTCCTATTTACACTGAAATTAATAGTCACCCAGAAATATGCATTTGCTATTAATGCATTAAAGGTACTCATAACTCTCGATTTCATCTGCACAGGAGGTATGTTGCTATGGTACAGTTTGGTAAGTTCAAGCCTTCATTAAAATTGGCTCCTCAAAACAATCAAAGAAATATTTTTCATATCAATCAAATTAGGAAAAGGTTGGATATTGTTTATTGTTCGAAAAAGATGTCAAACTTATACACACTTAAATTTCAACGTTATCAGTACATGCGTAGTTTGCTTTCATTTACTTATTCATGGCTATTCCAATATACCAAGTTAATGGCCTTTAAAAAAAAGATTTTTTGGAAAATGCAACTCATATACATGTGCACCATGGCAAATAACCATTACTGATCTTTCTGGCTACCAATGACCGTCTCCATGCAGTTACATCAGTACACACATACCTTTATGGATGGTGCGTTTGCTTTCCATGTAGAGTAGAACTCCTCACGTAAATCCCCTCCATCGAGTGTCAAGTCAGTCAAGTGTGGCATAGAACACAGTGCCTCTGATAGGTGATGTGACGAGGCTGGTGTGCGACACTGGTGATTAGTCAGCTTGAGAGTCTGGACCTGCATTCATGGTGAATATAGTTAATCAGCACGACATGAATAGAGATATATTTTTTTTTTTACTAATTTCTCACTGTTTTCTTACAATTTCCGCAAATTCCATTAATTACATACTTGCTTTCAAAATAACATTCTAAACAAATGATGAAATGATTTTTATTTTCAAATTCAATTCTCGTCTATTCAGAAGAAAAAAAAGAACATTAAAGTGTCGCTCAAGAGGATAATTTACTAAGAGTTATTTCTTTTAATTTTTATGTATTCTTTAGAGGGTTGCAACCTGTTTGCATTTACAAGTCATATTCCTACTAACACTAAAATAAATAATACCCAGAAATATGCATTTGCTCTTAATGCATTAAAGGTACTCATAACTCTCGATTTCATATGCACAAGACGCCCTAAATCAGGAGGTTTGTTGCCCATGGTACAGTTTGGTAAGTTGAAGCCTACATTAAAAGTGGTTCTTTAAAACACTCCATGTAATATTTTTTATGTCAACCAAACTAGGACAAAATTGGATATAGTTTATTGGTCAAAAAAATGTCAAATTTATACACACTTAAATTTCAAAGTAATCAGTACATGTGTAGTCTGCTTTCATTTCATTATTCATGGCTATTCCAATATAACAAGTTGATGGCCTTTAAAAAAAGATTGTTTGAAAAATGCAACTTATATACATGTGCACCATGGCATATAACCATAACTGATCTTTCTGTCTACCAATGACCGTCTCCATGTAGTTACATTAGTACACACATACCTTTATGGATGGTGCGTTTGCTTTCCATGTAGAGTAGAACTCCTCACGTAAATCCCCTCCATCGAGTGTCAAGTCAGTCAAGTGTGGCATAGAACACAGTGCCTCTGAAAGTTGATTTGACGAGGCTGGTGTGCGACACTGGTGATTAGTCAGGTCGAGAGTCTGGACCTGCATTCATGGTAAATATAGTTAAACAGTACGTCTTGAATAGATATATCTTATTTACTAATTTCTCACTGTCTTCTTACATTTTACACCAATTCCATTAATTACATACTTGCATTCAAGATAACATTCTAAACAAATGATGAAATAGTTTTTGTTTTCAAATTCAATTCTTGTCTATTCAGAAAAAAGAACACATTTTATTATCTATCGACAGGATAATAAATAACGATTGTTTTAAATTCTATATGTACTTTTTAGAGGGATTGCAATCTGTTTGCATTTATAAGTCATATTCCTACTTACACTGAAATTTACAATACCCAGAAATATGCATTTGCTATTAATGCATTAAAGGTACTCAAACCTCTCGATTTCATCTGCACAAGACGCCTTAAATACTAAGAGTGATTGTTTTAAATTCTATATGTATTCTTTAGAGGGATTGCAATCTGTTTGCATTGATAAGTTATATTCTTACTTACACTGAAATTAATAATACCCAGAAATATGCATTTGCTCTTAATGCATTAAAGGTACTCATAACTCTCGATTTCATCTGCACAAGACCCCCTAAATCAGGAGGTTTGTTGCTATGGTACAGTTTGGTAAGTTCAAGCCTACATTGAAATTGGCTCCCCAAAACAATCCAAGAAATATTTTTCATATCAATCAAACTAGGGAAAGGTTGGATATTGTTTATTGTTCAAAAAAGATGTCAAAGTTATACACACTTAAATTTCAACGTTATCAGTACATGCGTATTTTGCTTTCATTTCCTTATTCATGGCTATTCCAATATACCAAGTAAATGGCCTTTAACAAAGGGTGTTTGGAATATACAACTTGTATACATTTGCCCCATGGCATTTAACCATTACTGCTTTTTCTGTCTACCAATGACCGTCTCCATGTAGTTACATTAGTACACACATACCTTTACGGATGATGCCTTTGCTTTCAATGTAGAGTAAAACTCCTCACGTAAATCTCCTCCATCGAGTGTCAAGTTAGTCAAGTTTGGCATAGAACACAGTGCCTCTAATAGGTGATGTGACGAGGGTGTGCGAAACTTGTGATTAGTCAGCTTGAGAGTCTGGACCTGCATTCATGGTGAATATAGTTAATCAGCACGACATGAATAGATATATTTTATTTACTCATTTCTCATTGTATTCTTACAATTTACACAAATTCCATTATTTACATATTTGCTTTCAAGATAACATTCTCAACAAATGATGAAATGATTTTTATTTCCAAATTGAATTCTCGTCTATTCAGAAGAAAAAAAAGAACATTAAAGTGACCCTCAAAAGGATAATTTACTAAGAGTTATTTCTTTTGATTCTTTATGTATTCTTTAGAGGGTTGCAACCTGTTTGCATTTACAAGTCATATTCCTACTAACACTGAAATAAATAATACCCAGAAATATGCATTTGCTCTTAATGCATTAAAGGTACTCATAACTCTCGATTTCATATGCACAAGACGCCCTAAATCAGGAGGTTTGTTGCTATGGTACAGTTTGGTAAGTTGAAGCCTACATTAAAAGTGGTTCTTTAAAACACTCTATGAAATGTTTTTATGTCAACCAAACTAGGAGAAAATTGGATATTGTTTATTGTTCGAAAAAAATGTCAAATTCATACACACTTAAATTTCGAAGTAATCAGTACATGTGTAGTCTGCTTTCATTTCATTATTCATGGCTATTCCAATATAACAATAATGGCCTTTAAAAAAAGATTGTTTGGAAAATGCAACTTCTATACAGGTCACCATGGCATATAACCATTACTGATCTTTCTGTCTACCAATGACCGTCTCCATGCAGTTACATAAGTACACACATACCTTTATGGATGATGCGTTAGCTTTCCATGTAGAGTAGAACTCCTCACGTAAATCCCCTCCATCGAGTGTCAAGTCAGTCAAGTGTGGCATAGAACACAGTGCCTCAGATAGGTGATGTGACGAGGAGGGTGTGGGACACTGGTGATTAGTCAGGTTGAGAGTCTGGACCTGCATTTATGGTGAATATAGTTAACCAGTACGTCTTGAGTAGATATATCTTATTTACTAATTTCTCACTGTCTTCTTACATTTTACACGAATTCCAATAATTACATACTTATATTCAAGATAACATTCTAAACAAAAGATGAAATAGTTTTTATTTTCAAATTCAATTCTTGTCTATTCAGAAAAAAAGAACACATTAAATTGTCTATCGACAGGATAATAAAGAACGATTGTTTTAAATTCTATATGTACTCTTTATAGGGATTGCAATCTGTTTGCATTTATAAGTCATATTCCTACTTACACTGAAATTTACAATACCCAGAAATATGCATTTGCTATTAATACATTAACGGTTTTTATAACTCTTGATTTTATGTGCACAAGACGCCCTAAATATTAAGAGTGATTGTTTTAAATTCTATATGTACTCTTTATAGGGATTGCAATCTGTTTGCATTTATAAGTCATATTCCTACTTACACTGAAATTTACAATACCCAGAAATATGCATTTGCTATTAATGCATTAAAGGTACTCATAACTCTCGATTTCATCTGCATAAGACCCCCTAAATTAGGAGGTTTGTTGGTATGGTACAGTTTGGTAAGTTCAAGCCTACATTGAAATTGGCTCCTCAAAACAATCCAAGAAATATTTTTTATATCAATCACACTAGGGAAAGGTTGGATATTGTTAATTGTTCGAAAAAGATGTCAAACTTATACACACTTAAATTTCAACGTAATCAGTACATGCACAGTTTGCTTTCATTTCCTTATTCATGGCTATTCCAATATACCAAGTAAATGGCCTTTAAAAAAGGTTGTTTGGAATATACAAATTATATACATTTGCACCATGGCATTTAACCATAACTGCTCTTTCTGTCTACCAATGACCGTCTCCATGCAGTTAGATTAGTACACACATACCTTTATGGATGATGCCTTTGCTTTCAATGTAGAGTAAAACTCCTCACGTAAATCTCCTCCATCGAGTCTCAAGTTAGTCAAGTTTGGCATAGAACACAGTGCCTCTAATAGGTGATGTGACGAGGGTGTGCGAAACTTGTGATTAGTCAGCTTGAGAGTCTGGACCTGCATTTATGGTGAATATAGTTAACCAGTACGTCTTGAGTAGATATATCTTATTTACTAATTTCTCACTGTCTTCTTACATTTTACACGAATTCCAATAATTACATACTTATATTCAAGATAACATTCTAAACAAAAGATGAAATAGTTTTTATTTTCAAATTCAATTCTTGTCTATTCAGAAAAAAAGAACACATTAAATTGTCTATCGACAGGATAATAAAGAACGATTGTTTTAAATTCTATATGTACTCTTTATAGGGATTGCAATCTGTTTGCATTTATAAGTCATATTCCTACTTACACTGAAATTTACAATACCCAGAAATATGCATTTGCTATTAATGCATTAACGGTTTTTATAACTCTTGATTTTATGTGCACAAGACGCCCTAAATATTAAGAGTGATTGTTTTAAATTCTATATGTACTCTTTATAGGGATTGCAATCTGTTTGCATTTATAAGTCATATTCCTACTTACACTGAAATTTACAATACCCAGAAATATGCATTTGCTATTAATGCATTAAAGGTACTCATAACTCTCGATTTCATCTGCATAAGACCCCCTAAATTAGGAGGTTTGTTGGTATGGTACAGTTTGGTAAGTTCAAGCCTACATTGAAATTGGCTCCTCAAAACAATCCAAGAAATATTTTTTATATCAATCACACTAGGGAAAGGTTGGATATTGTTAATTGTTCGAAAAAGATGTCAAACTTATACACACTTAAATTTCAACGTAATCAGTACATGCACAGTTTGCTTTCATTTCCTTATTCATGGCTATTCCAATATACCAAGTAAATGGCCTTTAAAAAAGGTTGTTTGGAATATACAAATTATATACATTTGCACCATGGCATTTAACCATAACTGCTCTTTCTGTCTACCAATGACCGTCTCCATGCAGTTAGATTAGTACACACATACCTTTATGGATGATGCCTTTGCTTTCAATGTAGAGTAAAACTCCTCACGTAAATCTCCTCCATCGAGTCTCAAGTTAGTCAAGTTTGGCATAGAACACAGTGCCTCTAATAGGTGATGTGACGAGGGTGTGCGAAACTTGTGATTAGTCAGCTTGAGAGTCTGGACCTGCATTCATGGTGAATATAGTTAATCAGCACGACATGAATAGATATATTTTATTTACTCATTTCTCATTGTATTCTTACAATTTACACAAATTACATTATTTACATACTTGCTTTCAAGATAACATTCTAAACAAATGATGAAATGATTTTTATTTCCAAATTCAATTCTCGTCTATTCAGAAGAAAAAAAAGAACATTAAAGTGACCCTCAAAAGGATAATTTACTAAGAGTTATTTCTTTTGATTCTTTATGTATTCTTTAGAGGGTTGCAACCTGTTTGCATTTACAAGTCATATTCCTACTAACACTGAAATAAATAATACCCAGAAATATGCATTTGCTCTTAATGCATTAAAGGTACTCATAACTCTCGATTTCATATGCACAAGACGCCCTAAATCAGGAGGTTTGTTGCTATGGTACAGTTTGGTAAGTTCAAGCCTACATTAAAAGTGGTTCTTTAAAACACTCTATGAAATGTTTTTATGTCAACCAAACTAGGAGAAAATTGGATATTGTTTATTGTTCGAAAAAAATGTCAAATTCATACACACTTAAATTTCAAAGTAATCAGTACATGTGTAGTCTGCTTTCATTTCATTATTCATGGCTATTCCAATATACCAAGTAAATGGCCTTTAAAAAGAGTGCTTGGAAAATGCAACTTATATATATATGTGAACCATGGCATATAACCATTACTGATCTTTCTGTCTTCTAATGACCGTAACCATGCAGTTACATTAGTACACACATACCTTCATGGATGATGCGTTTGCTTTCCATGTAGAGTAGAACTCCTCACGTAAATCCCCTCCATCGAGTGTCAAGTCAGTCAAGTGTGGCATAGAATACAGTGCCTCTGATAGGTGATATGACGACGCTGGTGTGCGACATTGGTGATTAGTCAGCTTGAGAGTCTGGACCTGCATTCATGGTGAATATAGTTAACCAGTACGTCTTAAATAGATATAGTTCAAGTCTACATTAAAATTGGCTCCTTAAAACACTCTATGATTTTTTTTTCACATCAATCAAACTAGGAAAAGCTTGTATTTTGTTTATTGGTCAAAATAATTTCAAACTTATACACACTTAAACTTCAACGTAATCAGTACATGTGTATTTTTCTTTCATTTCATTATTCATGGCTATTCCAATATAACAATAATGGCCTTTAAAAAAAGATTGTTTGGAAAATGCAACTTCTATACAGGTCACCATGGCATATAACCATTACTGATCTTTCTGTCTACCAATGACCGTCTCCATGCAGTTACATAAGTACACACATACCTTTATGGATGATGCGTTAGCTTTCCATGTAGAGTAGAACTCCTCACGTAAATCCCCTCCATCGAGTGTCAAGTCAGTCAAGTGTGGCATAGAACACAGTGCCTCAGATAGGTGATGTGACGAGGAGGGTGTGGGACACTGGTGATTAGTCAGGTTGAGAGTCTGGACCTGCATTTATGGTGAATATAGTTAACCAGTACGTCTTGAGTAGATATATCTTATTTACTAATTTCTCACTGTCTTCTTACATTTTACACGAATTCCAATAATTACATACTTATATTCGAGATAACATTCTAAACAAAAGATGAAATAGTTTTTATTTTCAAATTCAATTCTTGTCTATTCAGAAAAAAAGAACACATTAAATTGTCTATCGACAGGATAATAAAGAACGATTGTTTTAAATTCTATATGTACTCTTTATAGGGATTGCAATCTGTTTGCATTTATAAGTCATATTCCTACTTACACTGAAATTTACAATACCCAGAAATATGCATTTGCTATTAATGCATTAACGGTTTTTATAACTCTTGATTTTATGTGCACAAGACGCCCTAAATATTAAGAGTGATTGTTTTAAATTCTATATGTACTCTTTATAGGGATTGCAATCTGTTTGCATTTATAAGTCATATTCCTACTTACACTGAAATTTACAATACCCAGAAATATGCATTTGCTATTAATGCATTAAAGGTACTCATAACTCTCGATTTCATCTGCATAAGACCCCCTAAATCAGGAGGTTTGTTGGTATGGTACAGTTTGGTAAGTTCAAGCCTACATTAAAATTGGCTCCTCAAAACAATCCAAGAAATATTTTTCATATCAATCAAACTAGGGAAAGGTTGGATATTGTTTATTGTTCGAAAAAGATGTCAAACTTATACACACTTAAATTTCAACGTAATCAGTACATGCGTAGTTTGCTTTCATTTCCTTATTCATGGCTATTCCAATATACCAAGTAAAAGGCCTTTAAAAAAGGTTGTTTGGAATATACAACTTATATACATTTGCACCATGGCATTTAACCATAACTGCTCTTTCTTGTCTACCAATGACCGTCTCCATGCAGTTAGATTAGTACATACATACCTTTATGGATGATGCCTTTGCTTTCAATGTAGAGTAAAACTCCTCACGTAAATCTCCTCCATCGAGTCTCAAGTTAGTCAAGTTTGGCATAGAACACAGTGCCTCTAATAGGTGATGTGACGAGGGTGTGCGAAACTTGTGATTAGTCAGCTTGAGAGTCTGGACCTGCATTCATGGTGAATATAGTTAATCAGCACGACATGAATAGATATATTTTATTTACTCATTTCTCATTGTATTCTTACAATTTACACAAATTACATTATTTACATACTTGCTTTCAAGATAACATTCTAAACAAATGATGAAATGATTTTTATTTCCAAATTCAATTCTCGTCTATTCAGAAGAAAAAAAAGAACATTAAAGTGACCCTCAAAAGGATAATTTACTAAGAGTTATTTCTTTTGATTCTTTATGTATTCTTTAGAGGGTTGCAACCTGTTTGCATTTACAAGTCATATTCCTACTAACACTGAAATAAATAATACCCAGAAATATGCATTTGCTCTTAATGCATTAAAGGTACTCATAACTCTCGATTTCATATGCACAAGACGCCCTAAATCAGGAGGTTTGTTGCTATGGTACAGTTTGGTAAGTTCAAGCCTACATTAAAAGTGGTTCTTTAAAACACTCTATGAAATGTTTTTATGTCAACCAAACTAGGAGAAAATTGGATATTGTTTATTGTTCGAAAAAAATGTCAAATTCATACACACTTAAATTTCAAAGTAATCAGTACATGTGTAGTCTGCTTTCATTTCATTATTCATGGCTATTCCAATATACCAAGTAAATGGCCTTTAAAAAGAGTGCTTGGAAAATGCAACTTATATATATATGTGAACCATGGCATATAACCATTACTGATCTTTCTGTCTTCCAATGACCGTAACCATGCAGTTACATTAGTACACACATACCTTCATGGATGATGCGTTTGCTTTCCATGTAGAGTAGAACTCCTCACGTAAATCCCCTTCATCGAGTGTCAAGTCAGTCAAGTGTGGCATAGAATACAGTGCCTCTGATAGGTGACGTGATGAGGCTGGTGTGGGACACTGGTGATTAGTCAGCTTGAGAGTCTGGACCTGCATTCATGGTGAATATAGTTAACCAGTACGTCTTAAATAGATATATCTCATTGACTAATTTCTCAATGTCTTCTTACATTTTACACAAATTCCATTAATTACATACTTGCATTCAAGATAACATTCTAAACAAATGATGAATTAGTTTTTATTTTCAAATTCAATTCTTGTCTTTTCAGAAAAAAAAAACACATTAAAGTGTCTATCGACAGGATAATAAAGAACGGTTGTTTTAAATCATATATGTACTCTTTAGAGGGATTTCAATCTGTTTGCATTTTTAAGTCATATTCCTACTTACACTGAAATTAACAATACCCAGAAATATGCATTTGCTATTAATGCATTAAAGGTTCTTATAACTCTCGATTTCATGTACACAAGACGCCCTAAATACTAAGAGTGATTGTTTTAAATTCCATATATATTCTTTAGAGGGATTGCAATCTGTTTGCATGTATAAGTTATATTCCTACTTACACTGAAATTAAAAATACCGAGAAATATGCATTTACTATTAATGCATTAAAGGTACTCATAACTCTCGATTTCATGTGCACAAGACCCCCTAAATCAGGAGGTTTCTTGCTATGGTACAGTTTGGTAAGTTCAAGCCTACATTAAAATTGGCTCCTCAAAACACTCTATGATTTTTTTTTCACATCAATCAAACTAGGAAAAGCTTGTATTTTGTTTATTGGTCAAAATAATTTCAAACTTATACACACTTAAACTTCAACGTAATCAGTACATGTGTATTTTTCTTTCATTTCATTATTCATGGCTATTCCAATATAACAATAATGGCCTTTAAAAAAAGATTGTTTGGAAAATGCAACTTCTATACAGGTCACCATGGCATATAACCATTACTGATCTTTCTGTCTACCAATGACCGTCTCCATGCAGTTACATAAGTACACACATACCTTTATGGATGATGCGTTAGCTTTCCATGTAGAGTAGAACTCCTCACGTAAATCCCCTCCATCGAGTGTCAAGTCAGTCAAGTGTGGCATAGAACACAGTGCCTCAGATAGGTGATGTGACGAGGGGTGTGGGACACTGGTGATTAGTCAGGTTGAGAGTCTGGACCTGCATTCATGGTGAATATAGTTAACCAGTACGTCTTAAATAGATATATCTCATTGACTAATTTCTCAATGTCTTCTTACATTTTACACAAATTCCATTAATTACATACTTGCATTCAAGATAACATTCTAAACAAATGATGAATTAGTTTTTATTTTCAAATTCAATTCTTGTCTTTTCAGAAAAAAAGAACACATTAAAGTGTCTATCGACAGGATAATAAAGAACGGTTGTTTTAAATCATATATGTACTCTTTATAGGGATTGCAATCTGTTTGCATTTATAAGTCATATTCCTACTTACACTGAAATTAACAATAACCAGAAATATGCATTTGCTATTAATGCATTAAAGGTTCTTATAACTCTCGATTTTATGTACACAAGACGCCCTAAATACTAAGAGTGATTGTTTTAAATTCTATATATATTCTTTAGAGGGATTGCAATCTGTTTGCATGTATAAGTTATATTCCTACTTACACTGAAATTAAAAATACCGAGAAATATGCATTTACTATTAATGCATTAAAGGTACTCATAACTCTCGATTTCATGTGCACAAGACCCCCTAAATCAGGAGGTTTCTTGCTATGGTACAGTTTGGTAAGTTCAAGCCTACATTAAAATTGGCTCCTCAAAACACTCTATGATTTTTTTTTCACATCAATCAAACTAGGAAAAGCTTGTATTTTGTTTATTGGTCTAAATAATTTCAAACTTATACACACTTAAACTTCAACGTAATCAGTACATGTGTATTTTTCTTTCATTTCGTTTTTAATGCCTTCTCCAATTTACCAAGTAATGGCCTTTAAAAAGCGTGTTATAAAAATACAACTTATAAACATGTGCACCATAAGTCATATAACCATTACTGCTCTTTCTGTCTACCAATGACCGTCTCCATGCAGTTACATTAGTACACACATACCTTTATGGATGATGCCTTTGCTTTCAATGTAGAGTAGAACTCCTCACATAAATCTCCTCCATCAAGTCTCAAGTCAGTCAGGTTTGGCATAGAACACAGTGCCTTTGATAGGTGATGTGATGAGGCTGGTGTGGGACACTTGTGATCCTCAAGCTTGAGTGTCTCGACCTGCATTCATGGCGGATATAGTTAACCAGTACGTCTTGAATAGATATATCTCATTTACTAATTTCTCACTGTATTCGTACATTTTACACAAATTCCATTAATTGCATATTTGCATTCAAGGTAACATTCTAAACAAATGATGAAATAGTGTTTTTTTTTTCAAATTCAATTCTTGTCTATTCAGAAAAAAAGTACACATTAAAGTGTCTATCGCCAGGATAATAAAGAACGATTGTTTTAAATTATATATGTACTCTTTAGAGGGATTGCAATCTTTTTGCATTTATAAGTCATATTCCTACTTACACTAAAAATTAAAAATACCCAGAAATATGCATTTGCTCTTAATGCATTAAAAGTTCTCATAACTCTCGATTTTATATGCACAAAACGCCCTAAAAACTAAGAGAGATTGTTTTAAATTCTATATGTATTCTTTAGAGGGATTGCATTCTGTTTGCATTCATAAGTCATAATCCTACTTATACTGAAATTAACAATATCCAGAAATATGCATTTGCTCTTAATGCATTAAAGGTACTCATAACTCTCGATTTCATCTGCACAAGACCCCCTAACTCAGGAGGTTTGTTGCTTTGGTACAGTTTGGTAAGTTTAAGCCTACATTGAAATTGGTTCCTCAAAACAATCCACGAAATATTGTTCATATCAATCAAACTAGGAAAAGGTTGGATATTGTTTATTGTTCGAAAAAGATGTCAAACTTATACACACTTAAATTGCAACGTAATCAGTACATGTGTAGTCTACTTTCATTTCATTATTCTTGGGAATTCCAATATACCAAGTAATGGCCTTTAAAAAGAGTGTTTGGAAAATGCAACTTATTTACATGTGCACCATGGCATATAAGCATTACTGCTCTTTCTGTCTTCCAATGACCGTCTCCATGCAGTTACATTATTACACACATACCTTTATTGATGATGCCTTTGCTTTCCATGTAGAGTAGAACTCCTCACGTAAATCCCTTCCATCGAGTGTCAAGTCAGTCAAGTGTGGCATAGAACACAGTGCCTCTGATAGGTGTTGTGACGAGGCTGGTGTGGGACACTTGTGATCATCAAGCTTGAGGGTCTCGACCTGCATTCATGGTGGATATAGTTAACCAGTACGTCTTGAATAGATATATCTCATTTACTAATTTCTCACTGTATTCTTACATTTTACACAAATTCAATTAATTGCATATTTGCATTCAAGATAACATTCTAAACAAATGATGAAATAGTGTTTTTTTTTCAAATTCAATTCTTGTCTATTCAGAAAAAAGTGCACATTAAAGTGTCTTTCGACAGGATGAAAAAGAACGATTGTTTTAAATTATATATGTACTCTTTATAGGGATTGCAATCTGTTTGCATTTATAAGTCTTATTCCTACTTACACTGAAATTAACAATACCCAGAAATATGCATTTGCTATTAATGCATTAAAGGTACTCATAACTCTCGATTTCATCTGCACAAGACCCCCTAACTCAGGAGGTTTGTTGCTTTGGTACAGTTTGGTAAGTTTAAGCCTACATTGAAATTGGTTCCTCAAAACAATCCACGAAATATTTTTCATATCAATCAAACTAGGAAAAGGTTGGATATTGTTTATTGTTCGAAAAAGATGTCAAACTTATACACACTTAAATTGCAACGTAATCAGTACATGTGTAGTCTACTTTCATTTCATTATCCATGGGAATTCCAATATACCAAGTAAATGGCCTTTAAAAAGAGTGTTTGAAAAAGTGAAACTTATTTACATGTGCACCATGGCATATAAGCATTACTGCTCTTTCTGTCTTCCAATGACCGTCTTCATGCAGTTACATTAGTACACACATACCTTTATTGATGATGCCTTTGCTTTCCATGTAGAGTAGAACTCCTCACGTAAATTCCCTCCATAGAGTCTCAAGTAAGTCAAGTGTGGCATAGAACATAGTGTCTCTGATAGGTGATGTGATGAGGCTGGTGTGGGACACTTGTGATCATCAAGCTTGAGGGTCTCGACCTGCATTCATGGTGGATATAGTTAACCAGTACGTCTTGAATAGATATATCTCATTTACTAATTTCTCACTGTATTCTTACATTTTAAACAAATTCCATTAATTGCATATTTGCATTCAAGATAACATTCTAAACAAATGATGAAATATTTTTTTTTTTAAATTCAATTCTTGTCAATTCAGAAAAAAGTACACATTTAAGTGTCTATCGAAAGGATAATAAAGAACGATTGTTTTAAATTATATATGTACTCTTTAGAGGGATTGCAATCTGTTTGCATTTATAAGTCATATTCCTACTTACACTGAAATTAATAATACCCAGAAATATGCATTTGCTATTTATGCATTAAAGGTACTAATAACTCTCGATTTTATATGCACAAAACGCCCTAAAAACTAAGAGTGATTGTTTTAAATTCTATATGTATTCTTTAGAGGGATTGCATTCTGTTTGCATTTATAAGTCATAATCCTACTTACTCTGAAATTAACAATATCCAGAAATATGCATTTGCTCTTAATGCATTAAAGGTATTCATAACTCTCGATTTCATCTGCACAAGACCCCCTAACTCAGGCGGTTTGTTGCTTTGGTACAGTTTGGTAAGTTTAAGCCTACATTGAAATTGGCTCCTCAAAACAATCCACGAAATATTTTTCATATCAATCAAACTAGGAAAAGGTTGGATATTGTTTTTTGGTCGAAAATATGTTAAACTTATACACACTTAAAGCGCAACGTAATCAGTACATGTGTAGTTTGCTTTTATTTCATTATTCATGGTTATTCCAATATACCAAGTAAATGGCCTTTAAAAAGAGTGTTTGGAAAATGCAACTTATGTACATGTGCACCATGGCATATAAGCATTACTGCTCTTTCTGTCTACCAATGACCGTCTCCATGCAGTTACATTAGTACACATATACCTTTATGGATGATGCCTTTGCTTTCAATGTAGAGTAGAACTCCTCACATAAATCTCCTCCATCAAGTCTCAAGTCAGTCAGGTTTGGCATAGAACACAGTGCCTCTGATAGGTGATGTGACGACGCTGGTGTGCGACATTGGTGATTAGTCAGCTTGAGAGTCTGGACCTGCATTCATGGTGAATATAGTTAACCAGTACGTCTTGAATAGATATATCTTATTTACTAATTTCTCACTGTCTTCTTACATTTTACACAAATTCCATTAATTACATACTTGCATTTAAGATAACATTCTAAACAAATGATGAAATAGTTTTTATATTCAAATTCAATTCTTGTCTATTCAGAAAAAAAACCACATTAAAGTGTCTATCGACAGGATAATAAAGAACGGTTGTTTTAAATTGTACTCTTTAGAGGGATTTCAATCTGTTTGCATTTTTAAGTCATATTCCTACTTACACTGAAATTAACAATACCCAGAAATATGCATTTGCTATTAATGCATTAAAGGTTCATATAACTCTCGATTTTATGTACACAAGATGCCCTAAATACTAAGAGTGATTGTTTTACATTATATATATATTTTTTGGAGGGATTTTAATCTGTTTGCATTTTTAAGTCATATTCCTACTTACAATAGCGTTAATAGTACCCCAAAATATGCGTTTGCTATTAATGCATTAAAGGTTCATATAACTCTCGATTTTATGTACACAAGGTGCCCTAAATACTAAGAGTGATTGTTTTACATTATATATATATTTTTTGGAGGGATTTTAATCTGTTTGCATTTTTAAGTCATATTCCTACTTACACTAAAATTAATAATACCCAGAAATATGAATTTGCTATTAATGCATTAAAGGTTCTTATACCTCTCGATTTCATGTACACAAGACACCCTAAATACTAAGAGTGATTGTTTTAAATTCTATATATATTCTTTAGAGGGATTGCAATCTGTTTGCATTTATAAGTCATATTCCTACTTACACTGAAATTAATAATACCCAGAAATATGCATTTGCTATTAATGCATTAAAGGTTCTCATAACTCTCGATTTCATGTGCACAAGACCCCCTAAAACAGGAGGTTTGTTGCTATAGTACAGTTTGGTAAGTTCAAGCCAAATTAAAATTGGTTCTTCAAAACAATCTATGAAATATTTTTCATATCAATCAAACTAGGAAAAGGTTGGATATTGTTTATTGTTCGAAAAAGACGTCAAACTTATACATACTTAAATTGCAACGTAATCAGTACATGTGTAGTCTACTTTCATTTCATTATTCATGGCTAATCCAATATAACAAGTTAATGGCCTTTAAAAAAAGATTGTTTGGAAAATGCAACTTATATACATGTGAACCATGGCATATAACCATTACTGATCTTTCTGTCTTCCAATGACCGTCACCATGCAGTTACATTAGTACACACATACCTTGATGGATGAAGCGTTTGCTTTCCATGTAGAGTAGAACTCCTCACGTAAATCCCGTCCATCGAGTGTCAAGTTGGTCAAGTGTGGCATAGAACACAGTGCCTCTGATAGGTGATGTGACGACGCTGGTGTGCGACATTGGTGATTAGTCAGGTTGAGAGTCTGGACCTGCATTCATGGTGAATATAGTTAACCAGTACGTCTTGAATAGATATATCTTATTTACTAATTTCTCACTGTCTTCTTACATTTTACACAAATTCCATTAATTACATACTTGCATTTAAGATAACATTCTAAACAAATGATGAAATAGTTTTTATATTCAAATTCAATTCTTGTCTATTCAGAAAAAAAACCACATTAAAGTGTCTATCGACAAGATAATAAAGAACGGTTGTTTTAAATTGTACTCTTTAGAGGGATTTCAATCTGTTTGCATTTTTAAGTCATATTCCTACTTACACTGAAATTAACAATACCCAGAAATATGCATTTGCTATTAATGCATTAAAGGTTCATATAACTCTCGATTTTATGTACACAAGATGCCCTAAATACTAAGAGTGATTGTTTTACATTATATATATATTTTTTGGAGGGATTTTAATCTGTTTGCATTTTTAAGTCATATTCCTACTTACAATAGCGTTAATAGTACCCCAAAATATGCGTTTGCTATTAATGCATTAAAGGTTCATATAACTCTCGATTTTATGTACACAAGATGCCCTAAATACTAAGAGTGATTGTTTTACATTATATATATATTTTTTGGAGGGATTTTAATCTGTTTGCATTTTTAAGTCATATTCCTACTTACACTAAAATTAATAATACCCAGAAATATGAATTTGCTATTAATGCATTAAAGGTTCTTATACCTCTCGATTTCATGTACACAAGACACCCTAAATACTAAGAGTGATTGTTTTAAATTCTATATATATTCTTTAGAGGGATTGCAATCTGTTTGCATTTATAAGTCATATTCCTACTTACACTGAAATTAATAATACCCAGAAATATGCATTTGCTATTAATGCATTAAAGGTTCTCATAACTCTCGATTTCATGTGCACAAGACCCCCTAAAACAGGAGGTTTGTTGCTATAGTACAGTTTGGTAAGTTCAAGCCAAATTAAAATTGGTTCTTCAAAACAATCTATGAAATATTTTTCATATCAATCAAACTAGGAAAAGGTTGGATATTGTTTATTGTTCGAAAAAGACGTCAAACTTATACATACTTAAATTGCAACGTAATCAGTACATGTGTAGTCTACTTTCATTTCATTATTCATGGCTAATCCAATATAACAAGTTAATGGCCTTTAAAAAAAGATTGTTTGGAAAATGCAACTTATATACATGTGAACCATGGCATATAACCATTACTGATCTTTCTGTCTTCCAATGACCGTCACCATGCAGTTACATTAGTACACACATACCTTGATGGATGAAGCGTTTGCTTTCCATGTAGAGTAGAACTCCTCACGTAAATCCCGTCCATCGAGTGTCAAGTTGGTCAAGTGTGGCATAGAACACAGTGCCTCTGATAGGTGATGTGACGACGCTGGTGTGCGACATTGGTGATTAGTCAGGTTGAGAGTCTGGACCTGCATTCATGGTGAATATAGTTAACCAGTACCTCTTGAATAGATATATCTCATTTACTAATTTCTCACTGTGTTCGTACATCTTACACAAATTCTATTAATTACACACTTGAATTCATGATAACATTCTAAACAAATGATGAAATCATTTTTATTTTCAAATTCAATTTTCGTCTATTCAGGAAAAAACACATTAAAGTGTCTCTCGACAAGATCAAGAGAAAAATTCACTATGTATTTTTTAGAGGGATTGCAATCTGTTGCATTTATAAGTCATATTCCTACTTACACTGAAATTAATAATACCCAGAAATATGCATTTGCTATTTATGCATTAGAGGTACTAATAACTCTCGATTTCACCTGCAAAAGGCCCCCTAAATCAGGAGGTTTGTTCGTATGGTACAGTTTGGAAATTTCAAGCCTACATTAAAATTGGCTCTTCAAAAAACTCTATGAAATGTTATTCATATCAATCAAACTAGGAAAAGGTTGGATATTGTTTATTGTTCGAAAAAATGTCAAACTTATACACACTTAAATTTCAACGTAATTAGTACATGTGTAGTTTGCTTTTATTTCATTATTCATGGCTATTCCAATATATCAAGTAAATGGCCTTTAAAAAGAGTGTTTGGAAAATGCAACTTAGATTACATGTGCACTATGGCACATAACCATTACTGCTCTTTCTGTCTTCCAATGACCGTCACCATGCAGTTACAGTAGTACACACATACCTTTATTGATGATGCGTTTGCTTTCAATGTAGAGTAGAACTCCTCACGTAAATCCCCTCCATAGAGTATCAAGTAAGTCAAGTTTGGCATAGAACACAGTGCCTCTGATAGGTGATGTGACGAGGCTGGTGTGAGACACTTGTGATTAGTCAGGTCGAGAGTCTGGACCTGCATTATTGGTGAATATAGTTAACCAGTACGTCTTGAATAGATATATCTTATTTACTTATCTCAAACTGTATTCTTACATTTTACACAAATTCCTTTAATTATATACCTGCATTCAAGAAAAAATTCTAAACAAATGATGAAATAATTTTTATTTTCAAATTCGATTGTCGTCTAATCAGAAAAAAAAACACATTAAAGTGTCTATCGACAGGATAATTTACTAAGAGTGAATTTTCTAAATTCGTTATGTATTCTTTAGAGGGATTGCAATCTGTTTGCATTCATAAGTCATATTCCTACTTACACTGAAATTAAAAATACCCAGAAATATGCATTTACTATTAATGCATTAAAGGTACGCGTCAATCTCGATTTAATGAGCGCAAGACCCCTATATCAGGAGGTTTGTTGCTATGGTACAGTTTGGTAAGTTTAAGCCTACATTGAAATTGGTTCCTCAAAACAATCCAGGAAATATTTTTCATCTCAATCAAACTAGGAAAAGGTTGGATATTGTTTATTGTTCGAAAAAGATGTCAAACTTATACACACTTAAATTGCAACGTAATCAGTACATGTGTAGTCTACTTTCATTTCATTATTCATGGGAATTCCAATATACCAAGTAAATGGCCTTTAAAAAGAGTGTTTGGAAAATGCAACTTATTTATATGTGCACCATGGCATATAAGCATTACTGCTCTTTCTGTCTTCCAATGACCATCTCCATGCAGTAACATTATTACACACATACCTTTATTGATGATGCCTTTGCTTTCCATGTAGAGTAGAACTCCTCACGTAAATCCCCTCCATCGAGTGTCAAGTCAGTCAAGTGTGGCATAGAACATAGTGCCTCTGATAGGTGATGTGACGAGGCGGGTGTGGGACACTTGTGATCATCAAGCTTGAGGGTCTCGACCTGCATTCATGGTGGATATAGTTAACCAGTACGTCTTGAATAGATATATCTCATTTACTAATTTCTCACTGTATTCTTACATTTTACACACATTCCATTAATTGCATATTTGCATTCAAGATAACATTCTAAACAAATGATGAAATAGTGTTTTTTTTTTCCAAATTCAATTCTTGTCTATTCAGAAAAAAAGTACACATTAAAGTGTCTATGGACAGGATAATAAAGAACGATTGTTTTAAATTATATATGTACTCTTTAGAGGGATTGCAATCTGTTTGCATTTATAAGTCATATTCCTACTTACACTGAAATTAACAATATCCAGAAATATGCATTTGCTATTAATGCATTAAAGGTACTCATAACTCTCGATTTCATCTGCACAAGACCCCCTAAATCAAGAGGTTTGTTGCTTTGGTACAGTTTGGTAAGTTCAAGCCTACATTGAAATTGGTTCCTCATAACATTCCACGAAATATTTTTCATATCAATCAAACTAGGAAAAGGTTGGATATTGTTTATTGTTCGAAAAAGATGTCAAACTTATACACACTTAAATTGCAACGTAATCAGTACATGTGTAGTCTGCTTTCATTTCATTATTCATGGCTATTCCAATATAACAAGTTAATGGCCTTTAAAAAAAAGATTGTTTGGAAAATGCAACTTATGTACATGTGCACCATGGCATATAACCATTACTGCTCTTTCTGTCTTCCAATGACCGTCTCCATGCAGTTACATTAGTACACGCCATACCTTTATTGATGATGCCTTTGCTTTCAATGTAGAGTAGAACTCCTCACGTAAATCCCCTCCATCGAGTGTCAAGTCAGTCAAGTGTGGCATAGAACACAGTGCCTCTGATAGGTGTTGTGACGAGGCTGGTGTGGGACACTTGTAATCCTTAAGCTTGAGGGTCTCGACCTGCATTCATGGTGGATATAGTTAACCAGTACGTCTTGAATAGATATATCTTATTTACTAATATCTCACTGTATTCTTACATTTTACACAAATTCCATATTTGCATTCAAGATAACATTCTAAACAAATGATGAAATAGTGTTTATGAAAAAAGAACACATTAAAGTGTCTATCGACAGGATAATAAAGAACGATTGTTTTAAATTATATATGTACTCTTTAGAGGGATTGCAATCTGTTTGCATTTATAAGTCATATTCCTACTTACACTGAAATTAACAATACCCAGAAATATGCATTTGCTCTTAATGCATTAAAGGTTCTCATAACTCTCGATTTTATATGCACAAGACACCCTAAATACTAAGAGTGATTGTTTTAAATTCTATATATATATTCTTCAGAGGGATTGCAATCTGCTTGCATTTATAAGTCATATTCCTACTTACACTGAAATTAACAATACCCAGAAATATGCATTTGCTCTTAATGCATTAAAGGTTCTCATAACTCTCGATTTTATATGCACAAGACGCCCTAAATACTAAGAGTGATTGTTTCAAATTCTATATGTATTCTTTACAGGAATTGCATTCTGTTTGCATTTATAAGTCATAATCCTACTGAAACTGAAATTAACAATACCCAGAAATATGCATTTGCTATTAATGCATTAAAGGTACTCATAACTCTCGATTTCATCTGCACAAGACCCCCTAAATCAAGAGGTTTGTTGCTTTGGTACAGTTTGGTAAGTTCAAGCCTACATTGAAATTGGCTCCTCAAAACATTCCACGAGATATTTTTCATATCAATCAAACTAGGAAAAGGTTGGATATTGTTTATTGTTCGAAAAAGATGTCAAACTTATACACACTTAAATTGCAACGTAATTAGTACATGTGTAGTCTGCTTTCATTTCATTATTCATGGCTATTCCAATATAACAAGAATAATGGCCTTTAAAAAAAAGATTGTTTGGAAAATGCAACTTATGTACATGTGCACCATGGCATATAACCATTACTGCTCTTTCTGTCTTCCAATGACCGTCTCCATGCAGTTACATTAGTACACGCCATACCTTTATTGATGATGCCTTTGCTTTCAATGTAGAGTAGAACTCCTCACGTAAATCCCCTCCATCGAGTGTCAAGTCAGTCAAGTGTGGCATAGAACATAGTGCCTCTGATAGGTGTTGTGACGAGGCTGGTGTGGAACACTGGTGATTAGTCAGGTCGAGAGTCTGGACCTGCATTCATGGTGGATATAGTTAACCAGTACGTCTTGAATAGATATATCTCATTTACTAATTTCTTACTGTCTTCGTACATTTTACACAAATTCTATTAATTACATACTTGCATTCAAGATAACATTCTGAACTAATGATGAAAAAGTTTTTATTTTCAAATTCAATTCTTGTCTATTAAAAAAAAAGAACACGTTAAAGTGTCTATCGACAGGATAATAAAGAACGGTTGTTTTAAATCATATATGTACTCTTTAGAGGGTTTTTAATCTGTTTGCATTTTTAAGTCATATTCCTACTTACACTGAAATTAACAATACCCAGAAATATGCATTTGCTATTAATGCATTTAAGGTTCTTATAACTCTCGATTTTATGTACACAAGACCCCCTAAATACTAGGAGTGATTATTTTAAATTCAATATATATTCTTTAGAGGGATTGCAATCTGTTTGCATTTATAAGTTATATTCCTACTTACACTAAAATTTAAGTACCCCAAAATATGCGTTTGCTATTAATGCATTAAAGGTTCTTATAACTCTCGATTTTATATGCACAAGACGCCCTAAATACTAAGAGTGATTGTTTCAAATTGTATTTGTATTCTTTAGAGGGATTGCATTCTGTTTGCATTTATAAGTCATAATCCTACTTACACTGAAATTAACAATACCCAGAGATATGCATTTGCTATTAATTCATTAAAGGTACTCATAACTCTCGATTTCATCTGCACAAGACCCCATAACTCAGGAGGTTTGTTGCTTTGGTACAGTTTGGTAAGTTTAAGCCTACATTGAAATTGGTTCCTCAAAATAATCCAGGAAATATTTTTCATATCAATCAAACTAGGAAAAGGTTGGATATTGTTTATTGTTCGAAAAAGATGTCAAACTTATACACACTTAAATTGCAACGTAATCAGTACATGTGTAGTCTACTTTCATTTCATTATTCATGGGAATTCCAATATACCAAGTAAATGGCCTTTAAAAAGAGTGTTTGGAAAATGCAACTTATTTACATGTGCACCATGGTATATCAGCATTACTGCTCTTTCTGTCTTCCAATGACCGTCTCCATGCAGTTACGTTATTACACACATACCTTTATTGATGATGCCTTTGCTTTCCATGTAGAGTAGAACTCCTCACGTAAATTCCCTCCATAGAGTCTCAAGTAAGTCAAGTGTGGCATAGAACATAGTGCCTCTGATAGGTGATGTGACGAGGCGGGTGTGGGACACTTGTGATCATCAAGCTTGAGGGTCTCGACCTGCATTCATGGTGGATATAGTTAACCAGTACGTCTTGAATAGATATATCTCATTTACTAATTTCTCACTGTATTCTTACATTTTACACAAATTCCATTAATTGCATATTTGCATTCAAGATAACATTCTAAACAAATGATGAAATAGTGTTTTTTTTTTTAAATTCAATTCTTGTCTATTCAGAAAAAAGTACACATTTAAGTTTATATCGAAAGGATAATAAAGAACGATTGTTTTAAATTATAAATGTACTCTTTAGAGGGATTGCAATCTGTTTGCATTTATAAGTCATATTCCTACTTACACTGAAATTAACAATACCCAGAAATATGCATTTGCTCTTAATGCATTAAAGGTTCTCATAACTCTCGATTTTATGTACACAAGACGCCCTAAATACTAAGAGTGATTGTTTCAAATTCTATATGTATTCTTTACAGGAATTGCATTCTGTTTGCATTTATAAGTCATAATCCTACTGAAACTGAAATTAACAATACCCAGAAATATGCATTTGCTATTAATGCATTAAAGGTACTCATAACTCTCGATTTCATCTGCACAAGACCCCCTAAATCAAGAGGTTTGTTGCTTTGGTACAGTTTGGTAAGTTCAAGCCTACATTGAAATTGGCTCCTCAAAACATTCCACGAGATATTTTTCATATCAATCAAACTAGGAAAAGGTTGGATATTGTTTATTGTTCGAAAAAGATGTCAAACTTATACACACTTAAATTGCAACGTAATTAGTACATGTGTAGTCTGCTTTCATTTCATTATTCATGGCTATTCCAATATAACAAGAATAATGGCCTTTAAAAAAAAGATTGTTTGGAAAATGCAACTTATGTACATGTGCACCATGGCATATAACCATTACTGCTCTTTCTGTCTTCCAATGACCGTCTCCATGCAGTTACATTAGTACACACATACCTTTATTGATGATGCCTTTGCTTTCCATGTAGAGTAGAACTCCTCACGTAAATCCCCTCCATAGAGTGTCAAGTCAGTCAAGTGTGGCATAGAACACAGTGCCTCTGATAGGTGATGTGACGAGGCTGGTGTGGGACACTTGTGATCCTCAAGCTTGAGGGTATCGACCTGCATTCATGGTGGATATAGTTAACCAGTACGTCTTGAATAGATATATCTCATTTACTAATTTCTCAATGTATTCTTACATTTTACACAAATTCCATTAATTGCATATTTGCATTCAAGATAACATTCTAAACAAATGATGAAATAGTGTTTTTTTTTCAAATTCAATTCTTGTCTATTCAGAAAAAAGTACACATTTAAGTTTCTATCGAAAGGATAATAAAGAACGATTGTTTTAAATTCTATATGTACTCTTTAGAGGGATAGCAATCTGTTTGCATTTATAAGTCATATTCCTATTTACACTGAAATTAACAATACCCAGAAATATGCATTTGCTCTTAATGCATTAAAGGTTCTCATAACTCTCGATTTTATATGCACAAGACGCCCTAAATACTAAGAGTGATTGTTTCAAATTCTATATGTATTCTTTAGAGGGATTGCATTCTGTTTGCATTTATAAGTCATAATCCTACTGAAACTGACATTAACAATACCCAGAAATATGCATTTGCTATTAATGCATTAAAGGTACTCATAACTCTCGATTTCATCTGCACAAGACCCCCTAAATCAAGAGGTTTGTTGCTTTGGTACAGTTTGGTAAGTTCAAGCCTACATTGAAATTGGCTCCTCAAAACATTCCACGAAATATTTTTCATATCAATCAAACTAGGAAAAGGTTGGATATTGTTTATTGGTCGAAAAAGATGTCAAACTTATACACACTTAAATTGCAACGTAATCAGTACATGTGTAGTCTACTTTCATTTCATTATTCATGGGAATTCCAATATACCAAGTAAATGGCCTTTAAAAAGAGTGTTTGGAAAATGCAACTTATTTACATGTGCACCATGGTATATCAGCATTACTGCTCTTTCTGTCTTCCAATGACCGTCTCCATGCAGTTACGTTATTACACACATACCTTTATTGATGATGCCTTTGCTTTCCATGTAGAGTAGAACTCCTCACGTAAATTCCCTCCATAGAGTCTCAAGTAAGTCAAGTGTGGCATAGAACATAGTGCCTCTGATAGGTGATGTGACGAGGCGGGTGTGGGACACTTGTGATCATCAAGCTTGAGGGTCTCGACCTGCATTCATGGTGGATATAGTTAACCAGTACGTCTTGAATAGATATATCTCATTTACTAATTTCTCACTGTATTCTTACATTTTACACAAATTCCATTAATTGCATATTTGCATTCAAGATAACATTCTAAACAAATGATGAAATAGTGTTTTTTTTTTTAAATTCAATTCTTGTCTATTCAGAAAAAAGTACACATTTAAGTTTCTATCGAAAGGATAATAAAGAACGATTGTTTTAAATTATAAATGTACTCTTTAGAGGGATTGCAATCTGTTTGCATTTATAAGTCATATTCCTACTTACACTGAAATTAACAATACCCAGAAATATGCATTTGCTCTTAATGCATTAAAGGTTCTCATAACTCTCGATTTTATATGCACAAGACGCCCTAAATACTAAGAGTGATTGTTTCAAATTCTATATGTATTCTTTAGAGGGATTGCATTCTGTTTGCATTTATAAGTCATAATCCTACTGAAACTGACATTAACAATACCCAGAAATATGCATTTGCTATTAATGCATTAAAGGTACTCATAACTCTCGATTTCATCTGCACAAGACCCCCTAAATCAAGAGGTTTGTTGCTTTGGTACAGTTTGGTAAGTTCAAGCCTACATTGAAGTTGGCTCCTCAAAACATTCCACGAAATATTTTTCATATCAATCAAACTAGGAAAAGGTTGGATATTGTTTATTGTTCGAAAAAGATGTCAAACTTATACACACTTAAATTGCAACGTAATCAGTACATGTGTAGTCTGCTTTCATTTCATTATTCATGGCTATTCCAATATAACAAGTTAATGGCCTTTGAAAAAAAGATTGTTTGGAAAATGCAACTTATGTACATGTGCACCATGGCATATAACCATTACTGCTCTTTCTGTCTTCCAATGACCGTCTCCATGCAGTTACATTAGTACACGCCATACCTTTATTGATGATGCCTTTGCTTTCAATGTAGAGTAGAACTCCTCACGTAAATCCCCTCCATCGAGTGTCAAGTCAGTCAAGTGTGGCATAGAACACAGTGCCTCTGATAGGTGATGTGACGACGCTGGTGTGCGACACTGGTGATTAGTCAGGTTGAGAGTCTCGACCTGCATTCATGGTGGATATAGTTAACCAGTACGTCTTAAATAGATATATCTTATTTACTAATTTTTCTCTGTATTCTTACATTTTACACAAATTCCATTAATTACATATTTGCATTCAAGATAACATTCTAAACAAATGATGAAATAGTGTTTATTTTCAAATTCAATTCTTGTCTATTCAGAAAAAAGAACACATTAAGGTGTCTATCGACAGGATAATTAAGAACGATTGTTTTAAATTATATATGTACTCTTTAGAGGGATTGCAATCTGTTTGCATTTATAAGTCATATTCCTACTTACACTGAAATTAACAATACCCAGAAATATGCATTTGCTCTTAATGCATTAAAGGTTCTCATAACTCTCGATTTTATATGCACAAGACGCCCTAAAAAGTAAGAGTGATTGTTTTAAATTCTATATGTATTCTTTAGAGGGATTGCATTCTGTTTGCATTCATAAGTCATAATCCTACTTATACTGAAATTAACAATATCCAGAAATATGCATTTGCTCTTAATGCATTAAAGGTACTCATAACTCTCGATTTCATCTGCACAAGACCCCCTAACTCAGGAGGTTTGTTGCTTCGGTACAGTTTGGTAAGTTTAAGCCTACATTGAAATTGGTTCCTCAAAACAATCTACGAATTTTTTTTCATATCAATCAAACTAGGAAAAGGTTGGATATTGTTTATTGTTCGAAAAAGATGTCAAACTTATACACACTTAAATTGCAACGTAATCAGTACATGTGTAGTCTACTTTCATTTCATTATTCATGGTAATTCCAATATACCAAGTAAATGGCCTTTAAAAAGAGTGTTTGGAAAATGCAACTTATTTACATGTGCACCATGGTATATCAGCATTACTGCTCTTTCTGTCTTCCAATGACCGTCTCCATGCAGTTACGTTATTACACACATACCTTTATTGATGATGCCTTTGCTTTCCATGTAGAGTAGAACTCCTCACGTAAATTCCCTCCATAGAGTCTCAAGTAAGTCAAGTGTGGCATAGAACACAGTGCCTCTGATAGGTGATGTGACGAGGCGGGTGTGGGACACTTGTGATCATCAAGCTTGAGGGTCTCGACCTGCATTCATGGTGGATATAGTTAACCAGTACGTCTTGAATAGATATATCTCATTTACTAATTTCTCACTGTATTCTTACATTTTACACAAATTCCATTAATTGCATATTTGCATTGAAGATAACATTCTAAACAAATGATGAAATAGTGTTTTTTTTTTTTAATTCAATTCTTGTCTATTCAGAAAAAAGTACACATTTAAGTTTCTATCGAAAGGATAATAAAGAACGATTGTTTTAAATTATAAATGTACTCTTTAGAGGGATTGCAATCTGTTTGCATTTATAAGTCATATTCCTACTTACACTGAAATTAACAATACCCAGAAATATGCATTTGCTCTTAATGCATTAAAGGTTCTCATAACTCTCGATTTTATGTACACAAGACGCCCTAAATACTAAGAGTGATTGTTTCAAATTCTATATGTATTCTTTACAGGAATTGCATTCTGTTTGCATTTATAAGTCATAATCCTACTGAAACTGAAATTAACAATACCCAGAAATATGCATTTGCTATTAATGCATTAAAGGTACTCATAACTCTCGATTTCATCTGCACAAGACCCCCTAAATCAAGAGGTTTGTTGCTTTGGTACAGTTTGGTAAGTTCAAGCCTACATTGAAATTGGCTCCTCAAAACATTCCACGAGATATTTTTCATATCAATCAAACTAGGAAAAGGTTGGATATTGTTTATTGTTCGAAAAAGATGTCAAACTTATACACACTTAAATTGCAACGTAATTAGTACATGTGTAGTCTGCTTTCATTTCATTATTCATGGCTATTCCAATATAACAAGAATAATGGCCTTTAAAAAAAAGATTGTTTGGAAAATGCAACTTATGTACATGTGCACCATGGCATATAACCATTACTGCTCTTTCTGTCTTCCAATGACCGTCTCCATGCAGTTACATTAGTACACACATACCTTTATTGATGATGCCTTTGCTTTCCATGTAGAGTAGAACTCCTCACGTAAATCCCCTCCATAGAGTGTCAAGTCAGTCAAGTGTGGCATAGAACACAGTGCCTCTGATAGGTGATGTGACGAGGCTGGTGTGGGACACTTGTGATTAGTCAGTTTGAGAGTCTGGACCTGCATTCATGGTGGATATAGTTAACCAGTACGTCTTGAATAGATATATCTCATTTACTAATTTCTTACTGTCTTCGTACATTTTACACAAATTCTATTAATTACATACTTGCATTCAAGATAACATTCTGAACTAATGATGAAAAAGTTTTTATTTTCAAATTCAATTCTTGTCTATTAAAAAAAAAAGAACACGTTAAAGTGTCTATCGACAGGATAATAAAGAACGGTTGTTTTAAATCATATATGTACTCTTTAGAGGGTTTTTAATCTGTTTGCATTTTTAAGTCATATTCCTACTTACACTGAAATTAACAATACCCAGAAATATGCATTTGCTATTAATGCATTTAAGGTTCTTATAACTCTCGATTTTATGTACACAAGACCCCCTAAATACTAGGAGTGATTATTTTAAATTCAATATATATTCTTTAGAGGGATTGCAATCTGTTTGCATTTATAAGTTATATTCCTACTTACACTAAAATTTAAGTACCCCAAAATATGCGTTTGCTATTAATGCATTAAAGGTACTCATAACTCTCGATTTCATCTGCACAAGACCCCCTAAATCAAGAGGTTTGTTGCTTTGGTACAGTTTGGTAAGTTCAAGCCTACATTGAAATTGGCTCCTCAAAACATTCCACGAAATATTTTTCATATCAATCAAACTAGGAAAAGGTTGGATATTGTTTATTGTTCGAAAAAGATGTCAAACTTATACACACTTAAATTGCAACGTAATCAGTACATGTGTAGTCTGCTTTCATTTCATTATTCATGGCTATTCCAATATAACAAGTTAATGGCCTTTAAAAAAAAAGATTGTTTGGAAAATGCAACTTATGTACATGTGCACCATGGCATATAAGCATTACTGCTCTTTCTGTCTTCCAATGACCGTCTCCATGCAGTTACATTATTACACACATACCTTTATTGATGATGCCTTTGCTTTCCATGTAGAGTAGAACTCCTCACGTAAATCCCCTCCATCGAGTGTCAAGTCAGTCAAGTGTGGCATAGAACATAGTGCCTCTGATAGGTGATGTGACGAGGCGGGTGTGGGACACTTGTGATCATCAAGCTTGAGGGTCTCGACCTGCATTCATGGTGGATATAGTTAACCAGTACGTCTTGAATAGATATTTCTCATTTACTAATTTCTTACTGTCTTCGTACATTTTACACAAATTCCATTAATTACATACTTGCATTCAAGATAACATTCTGAACTAATGATGAAAAAGTTTTTATTTTCAAATTCAATTCTTGTCTATTAAAAAAAAAAGAACACGTTAAAAAGTCTATCGACAGGATAATAAAGAACGGTTGTTTTAAATCATATATGTACCCTTTAGAGGGTTTTTAATCTGTTTGCATTTATAAGTCATATTCCTACTTACACTGAAATTAACAATACCCAGAAATATGCATTTGCTCTTAATGCATTAAAGGTTCTCATAACTCTCGATTTTATATGCACAAGACGCCCTAAATACTAAGAGTGATTGTTTCAAATTCTATATGTATTCTTTACAGGAATTGCATTCTGTTTGCATTTATAAGTCATAATCCTACTGAAACTGAAATTAACAATACCCAGAAATATGCATTTGCTATTAATGCATTAAAGGTACTCATAACTCTCGATTTCATCTGCACAAGACCCCCTAAATCAAGAGGTTTGTTGCTTTGGTACAGTTTGGTAAGTTCAAGCCTACATTGAAATTGGCTCCTCAAAACATTCCACGAGATATTTTTCATATCAATCAAACTAGGAAAAGGTTGGATATTGTTTATTGTTCGAAAAAGATGTCAAACTTATACACACTTAAATTGCAACGTAATTAGTACATGTGTAGTCTGCTTTCATTTCATTATTCATGGCTATTCCAATATAACAAGAATAATGGCCTTTAAAAAAAAGATTGTTTGGAAAATGCAACTTATGTACATGTGCACCATGGCATATAACCATTACTGCTCTTTCTGTCTTCCAATGACCGTCTCCATGCAGTTACATTAGTACACGCCATACCTTTATTGATGATGCCTTTGCTTTCAATGTAGAGTAGAACTCCTCACGTAAATCCCCTCCATCGAGTGTCAAGTCAGTCAAGTGTGGCATAGAACATAGTGCCTCTGATAGGTGTTGTGACGAGGCTGGTGTGGAACACTGGTGATTAGTCAGGTCGAGAGTCTGGACCTGCATTCATGGTGGATATAGTTAACCAGTACGTCTTGAATAGATATATCTCATTTACTAATTTCTTACTGTCTTCGTACATTTTACACAAATTCTATTAATTACATACTTGCATTCAAGATAACATTCTGAACTAATGATGAAAAAGTTTTTATTTTCAAATTCAATTCTTGTCTATTAAAAAAAAAAGAACACGTTAAAGTGTCTATCGACAGGATAATAAAGAACGGTTGTTTTAAATCATATATGTACTCTTTAGAGGGTTTTTAATCTGTTTGCATTTTTAAGTCATATTCCTACTTACACTGAAATTAACAATACCCAGAAATATGCATTTGCTATTAATGCATTTAAGGTTCTTATAACTCTCGATTTTATGTACACAAGACCCCCTAAATACTAAGAGTGATTATTTTAAATTCAATATATATTCTTTAGAGGGATTGCAATCTGTTTGCATTCATAAGTTATATTCCTACTTACACTAAAATTTAAGTACCCCAAAATATGCGTTTGCTATTAATGCATTAAAGGTTCTTATAACTCTCGATTTTATATGCACAAGACGCCCTAAATACTAAGAGTGATTGTTTCAAATTGTATTTGTATTCTTTAGAGGGATTGCATTCTGTTTGCATTTATAAGTCATAATCCTACTTACACTGAAATTAACAATACCCAGAGATATGCATTTGCTATTAATTCATTAAAGGTACTCATAACTCTCGATTTCATCTGCATAAGACCCCATAACTCAGGAGGTTTGTTGCTTTGGTACAGTTTGGTAAGTTCAAGCCTACATTGAAATTGGTTCCTCAAAACAATCTACGAAATATTTTTCATATCAATCAAACTAGGAAAAGGTTGGATATTGTTTATTGTTCGAAAAAGATGTCAAACTTATACACACTTAAATTGCAACGTAATCAGTACATGTGTAGTCTACTTTCATTTCATTATCCATGGGAATTCCAATATACCAAGTAAATGGCCTTTAAAAAGAGTGTTTGGAAAATGCAACTTATTTACATGTGCACCATGGCATATAAGCATTACTGCTCTTTCTGTCTTCCAATGACCGTCTCCATGCAGTTACATTAGTACACACATACCTTTATTGATGATGTCTTTGCTTTCCATGTAGAGTAGAACTCCTCACGTAAATCCCCTCCATAGAGTGTCAAGTCAGTCAAGAGTGGCATAGAACACAGTGCCTCTGATAGGTGATGTGACGAGGCTGGTGTGGGACACTTGTGATCCTTAAGCTTGAGGGTCTCGACCTGCATTCATGGTGGATATAGTTAACCAGTACGTCTTGAATAGATATATCTTATTTACTAATTTCTCTCTGTATTCTTACATTTTACACAAATTCCATTAATTACATATTTGCATTCAAGATAACATTCTAAACAAATGATGAAATAGTGTTTATTTTCAAATTCAATTCTTGTCTATTCAGAAAAAGAACACATTAAGGTGTCTATCGACAGAATTATAAAGAACGATTGTTTGAAATGATATATGTATTCTTTAGAGGGATTGCAATCTGTTTGCATTTATAAGTCATATTACTACTTACACTGAAATTAACAATACCCAGAAATATGCATTTGCTCTTAATGCATTAAAGGTTCTCATAACTCTCGATTTTATATGCACAAGACGCCCTAAATACTAAGAGTGATTGTTTCAAATTCTATATGTATTCTTTAGAGGGATTGCATTCTGTTTGCATTTATAAGTCATAATCCTACTGAAACTGAAATAAACAATACCCAGAAATATGCATTTGCTATTAATGCATTAAAGGTACTCATAACTCTCGATTTCATCTGCACAAGACCCCCTAAATCAAGAGGTTTGTTGCTTTGGTACAGTTTGGTAAGTTCAAGCCTACATTGAAATTGGCTCCTCAAAACATTCCACGAAATATTTTTCATATCAATCAAACTAGGAAAAGGTTGGATATTGTTTATTGTTCGAAAAAGATGTCAAACTTATACACACTTAAATTGCAACGTAATCAGTACATGTGTAGTCTGCTTTCATTTCATTATTCATGGCTATTCCAATATAACAAGTTAATGGCCTTTAAAAAAAAGATTGTTTGGAAAATGCAACTTATGTACATGTGCACCATGGCATATAACCATTACTGCTCTTTCTGTCTTCCAATGACCGTCTCCATGCAGTTACATTAGTACACGCCATACCTTTATTGATGATGCCTTTGCTTTCAATGTAGAGTAGAACTCCTCACGTAAATCTCCTCCATCGAATCTCAAGTAAGTCAAATTTGGCATAGAACACAGTGCCTCTGATAGGTGTTGTGACGAGGCTGGTGTGGGACACTGGTGATTAGTCAGGTTGAGAGTCTCGACCTGCATTCATGGTGGATATAGTTAACCAGTACGTCTTAAATAGATATATCTTATTTACTAATTTCTCTCTATATTTTTACATTTTACACAAATTCCATTAATTACATATTTGCATTCAAGATAACATTTTAAACAAATGATGAAATAGTGTTTATTTTCAAATTCAATTCTTGTCTATTCAGAAAAAAGAACACATTAAAGTGTCTATCGACAGGATAATAAAGAACGATTGTTTTAAATTATATATGTATTCTTTAGAGGGATTGCAATCTGTTTGCATTCATAAGTCATATTCCTACTTACACTGAAATTAATAATACCCAGAAATATGCATTTGCTCTTAATGCATTAAAGGTACTTATAACTCTCGATTTCATCTGCACAAGACCCCCTAAATCAGGAGGTTTGTTCGTATGGTACAGTTTGGTAAGTTCAAGCCTACATTGAAATTGGCTCCTCAAAACAATCCACGAAATATTTTTCATATCAATCAAACTAGGAAAAGGTTGGATATTGTTTATTGGTCGAAAAAGATGTCAAACTTATTCACACTTATATTTCAACGTAATCAATACATGTGTAGTCTGCTTTCATTTCATTATTCATGGCTATTCCAATTTACCAAGTACATGGCCTTTAAAAAGAGTATTAGGAAAATGCAACTTATATACCTGTGCACCATGGCATATAAGCATTGCTGCTCTTTCTGTCTTCCAATGACCGTCACCATGAAGTTACATTAGTACACACAAACCTGTATTAATGATTCCTTTGCTTTCAATGTAGAGTAGAACTCCTCCCGTAAATCTCCTCCATCGAGTGTCAAGTTAGTCAAGTTTGGCATAGAACACAGTGCCTCTGATAGGTGATGTGATGAGGCTGGTGTGGGACACTCGTGATTAGTCAGGTCGAGAATCTGGACCTGCATTCATGGTGGATATAGTTAAGCAGTACGTCTTGAATAGATATATCTTATTTACTCATTTCTCACTGTATTCTTACATTTTACACAAATTCCATTAATTACATACTTGCATTCAAGATAATATTCTAAACAAATAATGAAATAGTTTTTATTTGCAAATTCAATTCTCGTCTATTCAGAAAAAAGAACACATTAAGGTGTCTATCGAGAGGATAATTTACTACCAGTGATTTTTTTTAATTCTATATGTATTCTTCATAAGTCATATTCCTACTAACACTGGAATTAATAATACCCAGAAAGATGCACTTGCTATTAATGTATTAAAGGTATTCATAACTCTCGATATCATGTGCAGAAGACCCCTAAGTCAGGAGGTATGTTGCTATGATTCAGTTTGGTAAATTCAAATCTTCATTAAAATTTGCTCTTAAAAAATTATATGAAATATTTTTCATATCAATTAAACTCGGTAAATGTTTGTTGTTGATTATTGGTCAAAACAAAATCGATGTTATACACACTTGAATTTCAACTGAATCAGTACGTGTACTTTCCTTTCATATTTCATGACTATTTCAATGTACCAAGTGAATGACCTTTAAAACAGGGTGTTTGGAGAAAAAACTGATATACATATGCACCATATAACCATTACTGCTCTTTCTGTCTATCAATGGCCCTCTCCATGACATTGACATAAGGACACATATACTTGTATGAATGGTGCCTTTGCTTTCAATGTAGAGTAGAACTCCTCAGTGAGATCCCCTTCATTGTCATGCTTGGCAGTTTGAAATAAATCATACATAAATCTAATGTTTTCACCTATGAACCGTACTGACACAAAATCGTTCTGTTGTTCTTAAATAATACTGGGTAAACATGATTTAATTATTTCCACAATACAAGCCGAGACAAGTTATTTGAAACCTTCAAGAGCGATATGGGTCCCCAATTTCAAAAAGTCCCTGGGCTAATCTTCTTTAGGCAAGAGAGTGATGACACCCACCCTTGAGTAACAGATAACTGTCCACATTCATATGAATGATTCAATGACCGTAGTAAAATCTGAAAATAAAAAACTATAACATTCATAAGTAAACCCATCTTAATCTATAACAAAGTGGGTGTGCCTGATTTCTTTCATGGCTTTAATATCTACATTTTCCTCTATCTCTCTTTACAGATTTCTATAATAATTTCGAGTTTCCTCAAGATTTTTCATTGAACTTGTTAAACTTGCATTGTCACTTTCCTTTACAATACTACCAATTGTTTTATTAACCATATTTCTCTTCCCCATATTAAAAAAATACTTAGAAGGCTTTTCCCCTTCCTCCATCCAACGAGTTCTAGACCTCACGAGCACACCTTCCATTTGTTTTTTTTCGGATATTGACTAACTCGTCCTCTTTTTTGTGAGGAGTAAATCGGCAATAGAATTGTCACCCTTGGCGATCAAATCTGTCAGGACCCTGATCTCCTTCTCCAGGTCAAGTTCAACTTTATCCTCCTGCTTTTTATACGAGGCGTATGAGATCGTTGTGGCCCTGATTTTCATTAAAATCATCTCAAACAAAAATTGATCGTTGATAGTAAACCGCAAATCGTTAGGGTGTGAGAGGATTTGGTACTGACCTGAAGTGACCTGAAGTGACCTGAAGTTGTATTGATCGATCACTGTCCCTATAGTGTCTTTCACCAAATTCGCATACTTTTTATCTTTTAAAAGGGCATTGTTAAATTTTCAAAAACCTTTGCCATATGTGTGAAATCAAATGAAATATCAACAAAGGAGTAATCGGAGCGGTACCCTGGTTTGATGTCACAGCTATACAAGTTGGCATTCAGTTCAGATGAGATCAGAAATAAATAAAATCTAGACTGTTTGAGTGTATCATGCTGTCTCCATGTATATCTACGGCACCAGTATTATGAATGCGCCTTACATCAACAAGATCTAACTCTTTACACACCTTAATCAATTTTTACGAGGATTAGGAGTATTTACCTTAACATAATTCACACAGTCCAACTTGTTCTCTGAAATCAAATTCCAGTCACCACATATAATAGTGAGAGGCTTTTTTTTGATAACATCCTTGAGATCATCATAAAAACTTGGGGAGTCATTATTAGGACCATTAATATTAATAAGGGTAATTCTAATATCGTCAATTTCAATATCCAAAGCAAGCCTATTTCCTAATTCGTCCATTTTACAACCATGCACTTTAAAAGTAAAATTGTTAGTAAACAAAATCGCAACCCCTCTTCAATTGGTTTTACATGAATTAGAGTAACATTCCAACCCCCATTCTGCTCCCACATTAGTTTCAACTTCTTTTGAAAAGTGAACATCTTGGAGACAGTAAATTGAATATTTTTTATTTCTGAGATAATGCAAAACATCCCTACGCTTATCAAGCGTAGCTAAGCCATGGCAATTCATTGACGCAATGGATAATTTAAATTGTTGATCAGTCATCATAGATAAAATATTTTTCCACATATATTATTCGGGAAATTATACAGCGACTTTTTCTATTTTTCTCGTCCACTGACGCCTTAACATGTTGTTTCAATATTCTAATTTACTATGAGAATTTCGATTTTTTTTTTTTCGGTTTATTGTTTTTTCTTTCTTATGTCTGTTACATGTACTTTTCTCTAAGCGCCATGTGCATCGAAAGGTGGACCTGTGCGCTATACAAGTAGGCACTACTATTATTATTATTATTATTATTACATACTGACTAAAGAGGTATTCTCATATGCCCCACAATAAACACTACAAAAACAAGCTAGTACATATACATGTATTCTCGAGAGCCGTGACCCCATATTTACCGTAACCAATACACCTGGATCTTAACAATACAGAGGAAACTAGATTTACAAAGGTTGTTTACTACATAAAAAGTATGCAAATTATTCAAGCCCAAGGCATGTAAAACGTTCATTATACAGTGGAGCAGAAACCCCAAGAAAACCTGCGGCATTAGTAATATGCAAATAATCCCCACTAGTACATAGTCTAGTGGAAAAACAAATGAGATACAAATAGGCAACACCTGTGCAGTTTCTACACACGTACACACCTTTCATACGTGAAATCTTACTTGTACATTCATTGAACCTCTAGATTTTTTTTTACAACACACTGACAAAATACACAAACAACGAACAACACAAAACGACTCCTCACACCCCAAAGGAAAAATAAGAGAAATACAAAGCTCCATATCCCACAGCAAAAAAAATAAAAAATAAATAATAATCAAGCATATGACCCAGAGGGAAAGATTTGGCTTTTCTAAGTTTTTGTCGCACCTAAAAAGTAAGAAAATCCCTTGTCGGAGCTCTCAAATGAACCCCATTCGTTAGAAATAGTCCACTTTATCCATAAATATAAAAAACAACACCCATTCCGCTCCCCTGTCCCAGGGCTATAGTTTTCACTCACACTACCCAGTCATTCACCTGAATGACAAGAAAAAGGATGTATGCAGAAATACCTGAAGTTATAAACATGTAAAAACTTGAAGTCAAACCCTGCATGCTCCGGAATGCCGAGAACGAAACACGGCGTGATGTGAATCAAATAAATATGGATCCGACACTCTAAAAAATATCAGATATAAGCGCTAACTTTAATATCAACTGATAATTAGTCCTAAGAACATATCTTACTTATATTCGCTTCACTTTCACTCTAAAAAACACATTTTATGTGCATTAAAGTCAATTGAGTTCATAAAATTTGCCTAACTAAAACGTAGACTTTGCTAAGTTCGTAGACGAACACGGAACTCCTCTTTTATAGCATAATTTTCTACCAACCCTTCCTTGCCAAGCGTACGATAAATAACGACATTTTTCTTTTCCATCGAAGAGGTAAAAATTTAAACTAGAAAATCATTACGGAATCAATCAAAACCACATTCTTACCGCGAAGATTCAAGGGTTTTGGTTACTCCGGAATTCTTGAATGTTTTCTCCATACAGGACAAAACCAAAAATCGTGCAGTTATTATTTCCACAGAATAATTTTATTTTGGAATTTGCAAAA